TTTGGAGGTTATGTCATTATGACTCTATCACGGAAACCGTAGTCCCTATTGGCAAACACTTGGATGCATCGATTTTCACAGTTTTCTCTTGGGGCCAATTCTTCACCAGCCACATCATTCGCTATAGACAGGAACAGATGGTAACCACTTGGTGTAATGTCCGCAGTAGAAGGTAGTTGCATAAGAGCATCCACTATCAATATGTGTGGGGCGATTACTCCCTTCAGATGGTCGAATTGCTGATACTACAGATCCGCATTCACAGTTTGGCCGTAAGGGAGCAGTTCATAGTGAATGATTCCTTAACAATCTCATCTCTTTAACTCTATCTAGCATAATCTAAAAGCATTTACAGAACGCGTGATGTCTACTAAAGCAGTAGGAGGCTAAAATAATGGATTACTTTTTACTAGACCGAAAAACTAGAAAACACTTTTTTAAGACTTAAGTTTTTAATTTTTTTTTAAAAGAGTATAGTTTTATTTAAAAACTTAAGTTAATAAATAAAGCAATTAATTTTATTTTTATATATTTTCTTTCGTTTTAAACTTTTTATTTATTTAATAATTTTCTGTTATTTTTTAAACATTTTAAAAACTTTTTTTTTATTTTTATTTATTTTTTCATATTTAAATAAATTTAATTTTTATTATATATACAAATATATGAACATATATACAAAATAAATAAATAATTTAAAAACTCATTAATTGTTTTTTCTTGGTTTTTCGATATTAATTTTTTATTTGTGTTTACATTCATTATTCCATATACTTTTCTTATCCGATATTTTCCAAAAGAGCCGGCATGTTTTACAGTATTGAGCTTAAAACAAAAATGGTTAAAAACTGCATATTTCTAACCCACGATCAAACAAGTTGCGGAAGTTCTCAAATACATAAAATATAATTAATTATTTTAAAAACACAAAAAAAATTTTTTAACATCTTAATTCTAAAGTGATAGTATATATATATATGATATATAATATTTATACATCAACCTTAACGGTAAATGTCAACTACCGGCTCAGCAAGTTTTATTAAGAAAACACCGCTGCCACTTTAACTAAGTGAAATATTCAACGCTTCGCTTTGAACGCTTAGGCAACTGTGTTGGAGATTCAGTGTGAACGCCTACACTTATGTTACAATTATGGTCAATGAAGGTGCCACCACTAGCCGAGTGGCTTAAATAATCATTTGTTTACATTGAAGCTTTGTATATTCACAGAAAAAAACGGGATTTAATAAAACAAAAAAAAAAATTCAAAATTTGTATATATAAATTTGGTAGAATAAAAACAAAAAATAAGATATAAAATAAAATCCGCAAAGTAGATAACAAAAAGTAGTAATAAATATAAAAAATGTATTGAAACAAAATAAAAAAATATTTGTTAAACATGCTCGCTGACGTCATAAGGTCATATATATAATATATCAAGGAAAAATAATTTTATCTCGCATGGTTTTAATGTTCATGTCAGCTGGGCAAACATTTTCCATATCAAGCTTTAGACAAATGACGTCACAACTCTGACTTGATGAGAGTTGCAATGGAGAAGAAAAAAATAAAAATAAGAAAAGACAGACAAATTGAATAAAATTTGTTGTCGGCGTCGAAGAGCTTATAAGGTGTCCTGTATGGTAAGGTGAAAGCATGTAACCTAAGTGTGCTCTGCCCAATTAACAAAAAATAGTGACCTCACAGCCTGCGCCAATTCCCGTATCGTAGGCGTATTGTGTGAAAAACTATAGTATACCGTCAAAAAATTGATTGGGCCTTATCAGTGTGGTTTTCTTATTCTTCATCTTCTTCTTCATTGCCGTGGATAGTGCCGACGTGATTATAGCCATATCAACAATAGCACACCTCTTCGTCTCTTCTCATAGCTGTTTAGCGCCATTTGGCAATACCAAGTGAAATCAGATCTCTCTCCAACCGATCCTTGTTGTTGTTGTAACCGCAAATTATTCCCCGAATTGGTTTTCGGGGAATATTGCGGGAGCGACAGTCCTAAACCGGATAAAAATCCGGGTCGTTTCGGTATAAAGACCCGACTGTAGTGGGAAGTATTGGATTTTAGTCGCCTCTTACGATAGGCATGCCTTACCACGGGTAAATTCTTGAGCCCCTAACCCGCAGGGCTCTGCTGTAACAGGCGGGTACTTTCAAACCTGAAGCACTTTCATCCATTCGAACGAGATGACCCTGCCGAGGCGACGTAGTATAAAGTGTAGGTGCCTCCTTTCCGTTCAGTAAATTATGAAAACGCATACCTCAAATCGAACGGGAGCTCTGTCAAATATCTTGCTGGTAGTAATTTTGCTTGGCCAAAAGGTTTATTGTTGTCACGTAGTTCTTATAATGACCGACTAAGATTCCCAAGTGACTTATTATATGCAATTGTGCATTCATCCCAAATACTAAGTGTTGTAATACTTTTCCCATTCCGAATGCATCGGAGTCTCAACGGATTGGATGTTTTGTGGAAACCTCAGAGCGGAATGGCCAGTCCTTGCACCGCGTGGTAATGCTGCATGTTGTTCTTGATGACGCCAGAGTCGACGCTGTGCCATTTTGGGATCAAATTGCCTGTCAGTTTTGCTGTTTAGGGGTTACATCTAGTCAGAACTTTTAAAATTTCATAATGTACAGCTACTCAAGCAAATTCTCTGAAATTATCAAGTCGATCCGCCGGTTATTTTGGGAGTTACACGCATATCTGTAAGGACGCGGCTTTTAGAACTTTAATCTCGCTTTTCTCAAAACTATGTTTTTCAAGTCGGTGACCAAGATTTCGAGGGTACGGCTGAACCAGCTAGTCTCACATTTTTGCATGGGCTTTTGAACAATATTTTCCAGTACTCAAACGAATGAACTATAGATGAAAAGTTTTTATTAATGCGCAATTCAAGACCAAAACTATGGAGAAAAATGGAATTTTTATTTTTTACAAGCTGCCGTTTTGTCAAAAAAATATATATTTTTCGCTTGTTCCTTCGATAATTTACCAGATCAAAAATTACTTTAACGAAATCTGCTTGATTTTTTTACTTCAGATGATTCAGTTCAGAAATACAATGGTCCCAGCAAAACGTCTTTTTTGGGAGGGGTCCTTGGAGATCTGTTGTAGCAGCTTTAAAAACTGTTAAGTATATAAATAAAAATTTGCTAACTACTCATCAAAGGTGCTATATATATATTATATATGTATGTACAAATGCTCGAAATAATAAAGCTAAAAGTTTCCTCGGGAAAAATGTTGGAAAAACGTATTTTTTGTGGCTCATAACTGGATGTAACCCCTTAAACTAAGCAAAAAAAAGTTTGAAGTAAATCGATTTTTTTACAATATTTTCCATAACCTTCCTGATAACATTTCCGGGAATCGCAGAAACTAACTGACAATATTCCACGTCAATCGGGGGGAAACTTTTGGAAAAGTTTTTTAATTATCGGGTTTTATTTAAGACACCGAGATATGCCGTACTCATTTAAAAGACGGCTAAATAGCCACAGGCTTTAATATTGGGATTGTTATCAAAATGTGGAAAAATGTTTCTAATTTTTGCGTTCTTCTCTTAATTTTAGCTGGTATCCATTACTGGATCGTATACGAAGGCCTGTTGATTTTTTCACGATCTAAGGTAGTTAGAGATGACACATCATCTCATTAATGATAATACTAATTGCGGGACTCATGATTAGATTCATTAACATCTCATTTCTGGATCAAGCAACAACACTATATCAATGGAAACTGGAAATTCTTGAACTTGGAGCAACGCGTTTTCCAGACCTGTGAAGATGACAAGCAGTGAAGAGTTGTAAAGATTTTTTGTAGTTGACCCGAGATGATTTGGATGAAATTTGCAGACGCATTGTAACAGTTGATGAAGCTTGAATTCGTCAGTAAGATATCGAGTTCAAACAGGAGTCGATGCAGTGGATAAAAAACAGGCGAAAGACCACCAAAAGATGCAGAGTGCAGAAGTCGGCGTCGAATATTATGGCTATAATTTTCTGGAATGATGAGGCAATGTTATTAGTTGATTACTTGCCAAAGGGAACTGCAATGAACGGCAAGTGTTGCACTAATTTGTTGAGTCAGACGCGTGAGGCACTCATACAGAAGAGACGTGCCAAGTTAGCGTGCGGAGTGCGTTGGGAGGGATGCTTTAAAAGCTCCTGGATTTACAAAAAAATAATCATCCACTCTACAGTCCGCACCTGGCTCCCAGTGACGTTTTCCTTTTTTTTCAAATTTAAAAAAGGAATAACGGTGACGAAGATTAGCAGACGACAGTGAGATGAAAGCGATGGTAGAAAACCATTTTGAAGAGAATATTTTTCCAGTGGAATATTGTCTCTACGAGGGTGATCCTATTGATAAATAAAAAGCATAAAACTATACATTGTTTCATTAAGTGCTTTAGGCAGCGAACTTATCAGTCATCTCTCCTATATATTTCATTTTCTTGCTAGCGAGAATCCAAGTGAAATGTTAACTGTATGTACACGTATGTGTATGTTTTTTTTTTTTAAGAAAGGAGAGGAAGGCATTCGGAGCTATTTGTACCAGTCTCAGCTTTGCGGAGATTGTGCGTTGGATTTACAGACAGATAATATTTGTAAATATGTACATATACATATAAATATGTTTTTTTTTTTTTATTGGCCTTTAGACAAAATTTTTATCTCAATATCAACAAACTGCCTTATCGCATGTGGAAAACAAAACAAACATCGCTTTCATATTAAGTCTATATTTTTCTTTTGTTTTATTTTATTTTATTTTATTATAATTCTAAATTTTATATTTTTCTTTATACATTTTTTATATAAAAAAATTATTATTATTTATTTTGTTTATAAATATTAAAAAAATTTATATATATGTAAATGAATAACGTAAGAAGATGTATATATATATATTATATATACATAATAATAACTGCCTAAGCTTACATAAATATATTATATATATATCAATATAAGTACATACACTTATGTAAAATATTTAATGATGTTTAGGCGGCTTAAGGAGACAAAAAATGAGATAAAAATTTTCAAAACAAGCAAAAATAAAATAATAAAAAGGTATTCTGGTAATATTATATACAGTTGTATGCGCATGTAAGCACATATACATACGAATACAAGTATTTACGTATCGTATTAACTAACATAACTACTCCTTCCTAACTTCCTCGCCCTTCCCGGACTATAAACACCCAAAAATGTATTGCATTGTGAGCAATAATGGTTGCCCGTCCGACAGCTGTTCATGCAATAGGGTACCATACAAGCACAACAACAAAAACTGCAAAATGAAGCAGAAAATGGAAGTAATTATTTATTTTATAATTAACTATGTTTTTTTATTGAAATTTCTAAAATTTTTCCATTCAATTTCTTACCCAGCCAAACAGAGTAGGCCAGCACAAATGTGCGTTCGTGTATTGGGTGTGTAAACCATTCGCGTCGTTTTGTTGGCACCGCAAACCGGGCAAGTGACCGCACATGGATGAGGACCGAGTTTCATGTCCACTGAGGTATTTGCTGTGAAATGAAATAGTTGTAATTATTATTTTATATAAAAAAAATATATTAAAAAAAATATTAAAGACAAAAATATTTAAAAATAATTAAAAAAAAAATTTTAAATAAAAAAAAATAAAAAAAAATATTAAATAAAAAAAATTAATATTAAATAATACATGCAGTGTATATATCATACTGTCATGCTTTTTTCTATCGTGGCTTCGTTGCGCATTCTGGTCTGCATAAAATTGCCAATTCACACTAATATATTGTAGTATGCCTTTTCCCTGCCTAACTAAACTTATTGGTATTTCGAAATATTAAAAAATGTTCCTCATAAATAATTGAATTTACTTTAATCCTCTTCGTTATCGTACTCGGCCGTGCCAGATACGCAGTGCCGGCAGACCTTAATAGAATTATCAGCTGCTTACGTGTATGTTATGCTCGGTTTTAACTGAACTTGGTCTTCCTTCCTTGTTACTATATTACCGTTATACTGGTTTAACTCAAAAAATAGTAGAGTTTACTTGAATAACAAAAAGCAGCGCAGCAAATCTGGAAAATAGTTCCGAACATTCATTTCGTAGGCACAAAAGTACAGTGAGGATACCTGTGAGCAAACAGTAAGGTGAAGTTTGAATTTGAGCTTCGCGGGTTTAATATTTCGGGTTAATTTTTTCTTTTTAATGTTGTTGGCACTGTTATTGACATCTAGGTCAAATTTCACCTCAATGTCATTATTGGTTTTTTAGTTACGCTCGTGTTTACTAAACGACTAAAAGTGCCTTCGTGGTTTTTGCATCCCGATAATGCACACAGCACTCATTCTCCGTCACCATTTCGCTATAAATTCCACGAATATCATTCCTCCAACCCCCGTATTCGCCGGACTTAGCACCATGTGACTTCTGGCTCTTCCAAAAGCTCAAGAGACTACTTCGAAGACATCGTTTGGAGTCGATTGAGGAGATTAAACGTGAATCGGCGCTTTCTCTGAGGGCTTCGATAATTGGAAAAAGCGTTGGCGTAAGTGCATTGCATCGGCAGGGGGCTACTTTGAAGGCGGCGAATTCGATGTAGAAGAATAAATAGCTCACAGTATATATTGATATCTGTCAAATGTGAAATGTCAAAAGTTAGACATATATGAAAATGGATCGTCTAAAAACCGGACATAAGGCTAAAATTGTTAAAACCTTCAGCATTTATAATGATCCCAACGCGGCCACGTTTCAGAGATCATGGTGCACATTATCGTCCAACTACTCAACATATTAGAAAATTTTAAAGAATTCAGAAATACGAGTAATTCTGTGCATCATCGTTTGGCTCGTTCCACCCTAATCGCTGCTGTAGGTGAAAGTGTAGTCGAAGACTCGAATGTGACTATTTCTCGACTATCTCAAGAGCTCGGAGTTTATTATGGCATAATATGGCGTTCTTTGTACTGGGCCTTACAAATACAATCATATAGATTCACGATTGAGAGCTTAAATAACGAACAGCGATTTTTCGAACAAAATTTTCTTCAGCAAAGAGGGATATGTAAATATGTAAATTTGCGGCCCCAGGAAACTTCGAAGAATCAAAGTGAAGCCATTACACCCAAGAAAATAAAGCTTACTGCCTAATGCGTTTAGTTATTTGAAACCGACAGCGGCGAAACTGCCACTATGAATTCGGAGCATTCTTGTCTTATGACAACCAAATTTTGTGGCCTGCAATTGAAGAACACGACTTGGGTAATAGGTGGTTTCAACAAGATGGTGCCATAAGCCGCTCCACACGGACAAATATGGCTTTATTGCGCGAGAAATTTCCCGGCCTCGTAATCTATTCCTTTGGTTATCTTAGTTGGAACTATTGTACCTGCCTTTTGTGGGGATACACAAGAGACCGTGTCTACACCGATTAACCTATAACTTTTGAGCACGGGAAACCCAAGATTCGTAAAATAAGGGTTTGATACCGCACAATATGATCCAAAAAGTGGTCGAAAATTACCAAATCGGATCGAAGTTTGCGAGGCATTGTTTAACAAAAATAAAATACCAAAGAGGCAAACTTTATAATGAAATAGGAAATCGAAATCGCAAAATGGAAATCCCTGTATAGCAAAAACAATTCACTTCTTGACAATTTATTTTGTTTTTACTCAGTAATTTGAATGGGCGCATATTAGGGACTGAAGCATTCAGTAAATTTTTGGTTAAATTAATACTAAAATCATCAAAAATAAAGGTTAAGTTTTTATTCAAAGTAACTATAATTTTTTTTAATTAATATTTTATTAAAAATGCAAACAATTTCTATTAGATCTTCACCAGTTAGAGCTCGCTACCTCGTTCGGCTGTTGCCAATTCGGGATATCAGTATGCTGTTCTGCAGTAGTTCAAAGAAGAATAGCGGAGATCAACCTGAAAAAGGCAGTTCTCTATGTCTAGTACATGGTTAAAATTGAATAGGATCGTAAGTCAAACGCGGCAGAGGCTATTTCTACTTTCTTGAAACCTGATAAATCCAATGGACATAGCAATTGTTCTTTTGAGGCAGTATTCTTTGTGAATCTAGGCAACCAAGTAGCCGAGTGGTTAGCATGGCGTACTGCCATTCGGAAGGCCCGAGTTCATATTCCCGCTGCCACCAACATCCAAAAGTTATGGAAAATTAATTTAAATAAAAAATTAAGTTAAATTTTCTAATTGCGGTCGCCCCTCGGCATGTAATGAAATAAAGCTCGCTCGGAGGCGGCTTGGTATAGTCCCTCTATTTGTTGGAAAAAACATCAATACGCAAAACTACAAATTGGAGGAGGAGCTCGACCGGTTACAAAACGCCAATTTTCTTTTGTGAGTCTTAATATTTGCTGATATCATTCTGAATTCTTTGTGATATTTTAAAGCCACCAGCCTTATTTCCCCACTGACTGAGATTTCAATAATACTGTAGGCTACGTTCACTGAGACTGTGTGTAGTGAAAATTCACGCTAATAAAAAGTTAGAATTAGAATGAATTGAAACATGTGAAAGGTAAGAAACATAAAGGAAGATAAATATCCCAAAAAGCTCCATAAACTAGGATTTCTCTGATTCACTTTTCTGTGTCAAGAAGTCTTCCGCTTATTGCTCTTCGCTGTCTTCGGCCATGAGGAAGTCTCATTCGCGCTCTCGAATAACACGAAGTTCTTGTACATCGCAAAAAATGTTGGCCACATAGGACGACAAGTACTTCATCTGGGGTTAGATTGAGTCTCTATCTGGTACTACTAGGCAAAAAGAGATGTATTGCCCACCGGACCTAATGTGAAGTCAAACTCTTAAAACTTCAGAAAAAATAGAGCATGCTTGATATTAGTGGACTTGACACTTATTTTGCGCGTCCATTTTCAGATGTTTCTCGAGATGCTAGCGATGTCGAGTAAATTTTGTATTTAGATATACTCGTAGTACATCATTTATCAGGTATCTACGTACTTAATTATGTGCTTTTGAGGTATTGTGTGAAAGACTAAAGCCAGCCGTCAACATACTGATTGGACCTAATCAGTGTGGCTTCAGATCTGTTAAGTCAACAATTGACCAGATATTTACCATGAGACAAATCTTGGAAAGGACCCGTGAAAAGAGGATCGACAGACACCACCTCTTCGTCGATTTTAAAGCCGCCTTTGATAGCAAAAATAGGAGCTGCCTTCCCGCAGCAGGGAAGGACCTCTCCGAACCATTTGGTACCAAACGAGGTATCAGACAGGGTGAATCTTTGTCGTGTAACTTCTTTAATTTGATACTGGAGAGAATAATAAGAGCTGCAGAGTTGAATAGAAAAGGTTCAATCTTCTATAAGACTGTACAACTACTGGCGTATGCCGATGATATTGATATTATAAGCCTCAACAACCCCGTCGTTAGTTCTGCTTTCCCCAATATAAAAAAGCGAAGCGAATGGGTCTGGCAGTGAACGAGGACAAGACGAAATATCTCCTGTCATAAAACACACAGTCATCGCATTCGCTACTTCGCTCCCACGTCACTGTTGACAGTCATAGCTTAGAAGTCGTAGAAAATTTCGTCTATCTAGGAACCAGTATACACCAATAATAACGTCAACTTGCCAACAGGTGCTACTAAAGTCCCCACCCTACGAACGAAAATCAAACTCTACAAGTTGCTCATCATATCGGTCCTACTATCCGGCGCTGAAGCGTGGACGATGTCAATATCTGATGAGTCAGATTTGGGAGTTTTCAAGAGAAAGGTTTTGCGTAAGATTTATGGTCCTTTGCGCGTTGGCTACGACAAATATCGCAGACGATGGAACGATGAGTTGTACGAGATATACGTCGACATGGATTTAGTTCAGCGAATCAAGAAGCAGCGGCCAAGCGGGCTAGATCATGTTGTCCAATTGGATGAAGGCACTCCAGCTTTGCAAGTTTTCGATGCAGTACTCCGCTGGATAGACCGGGCAGAGAAAGTCCTGCCTGTACTTGGTATTTCCAATTGACGCCAAACAGCAAAAAGAAGAAGCGAATGGCGAAATGTTGCTAGCTCAGCTATAATCGCGTAAGCGGCGTCTACGCTAGTAAAGCAAGGTGTCTACGCCAGTAAAGAAGAAGAAAAATTGGGGTATAGTCAAGCTTCTGGATATGAAGTTACAGGCGCTGGGCTATCCTGGACACTGCGTTGCGCACTCTGTCTGTGTGAGCAACCTTTGCGCAAGATAAAGAACCAACTCATATGGAGCTCTATGTAAAATATTCAAACTTACTCGCCTAGCGAAGTTGTACACTGGTTTTGGGACATGTCACATAGAAACCAGTCCGATGAAAAGCAAAAACAACAACGCTTCGGATGAAATTTAAACTATTACAAAGGGATTAGTGTTCCAGCAACATTCTCGAATTGAAACATTCTAAGAAATGCTCGGGCGTGATTTGCAACTGAGTTAGCGAGTTGGCCACTACAAGCTTTGGAACACAGCAAAAGCTCGGCCACTTTCGTACCGGAACATCTAATATTTTTCACCTTCAATGAGTGTAGTATGGAATTCTCTTGCCAGGAGAAGTGAGCAGGTAGTGAGTAGGTTTAATCTAGACTAAACGAATGATTAATCATAAGAACTTAATAAAATATGTCTTTATGGTTGGTTGTGCAAGGTAATACATATTTGAAATATTTTACTGTTACACATACTACGTACGGTGGATATCGTGTGCGCAACACATTTAATGGTGATAATTTTTTAAGTAAAAAATATATAAATAAAAACGAGTTTTTAACATTCCTCAATGTGAGTTTATTTGGCTTACATATACCAACAAATAAATGTGCCTTTACCAGCATATAGATGTACGTGTACATATGTATGTATGCATGTATAATTTGCAAAATTAAATCGCCTTGAAAGACCTAAAATTTCAAAATCTCTTAAAAAAATAATTAAAAAAAAAAAAATGAAATAAACAAATATTACAGTTAGTTAACTCACCAGTTCGTATTGTTGGCGCTTGCGCTTGCTGCTGATTATGAGGCAGTGGTTGCACCACAATCACTGGCCTTGTCTGATTCTCGTGTGGCAGCATTGTTGGCTGTGGTGCTGTACGCTGTTGACGTACTGGCGGTATGGGCGCTTGTGGTTGTTGCCTGATGACGGGCGCGCTGGCTGTTGCCGCCGCCGCAGCTGGCGTTGGAGCGTTGGGATGCCAACCCAACACGGCAGCGCCACCACTGATACCACCAGCACCAATACCGTTACCATCGCCAACACTTGCACTTTCAAGTATCGGCGCATTTGGCGCTGTTGATGTGGACGCAATGGCCATATCGTATGAGGGCGGCGCCTCTGTGGGCAGTGGTGCCTCAGTGGGCAGACCCATGGCTGTTGAGGCTGATATGCGATGATCGCGTGTGGCAGCATTGTGTGCTGCTGGATCGATATCGGGATAGAGCATAGCACGTTTTTGATCCATACTTAGTTTTTTTTGTGTGTATGTGTGTGTGTGTAAGGGAGTTTATATTCAAAGGCCTTCAAAGGTCACTAATTCAATGTGCCACTTCACTATACATATAATATATGTATGTGCGAGTATGTACACATATGGAGGCAAGTAAATTACTTATTTTTGTTTTTGTTTTTGTCCGTTTGTACGTAAAAAATACTCGTTTCACTGCAATGCACAAATATTCACTCGCTGATTTTGTAACCGTGTAAAAATAATATTTACATATAAATTAGTAATTTAAATATTTACATAGATACGTGTATGTATGTATATCGACAAACTTTTCGTTTCAACGACGCGCTTACAGTAAGTGATTGAGCTTCGAGCTTACAACGACAACAACGCCACAACGACTGTAACGACGATCTACTCAGATTCACGTGCACGCCGCGACTGAAGTTTCAAAGTTCGTACGCTTATTCATGCTCGGATTTCTAGTCCGCACTTTTTCGTATTCATTTTCGTATTCAATTATTTTTAACTTTTTCTATTTTTCACAATTTTTAATACTTTGATTTTACTTCATTCACCACAATTATTACATGCTTTGCACTGCTTTGCTTCCATTGCGCTTTTCCATAAACTTTATCTCCGTCCTCTTTATACTCACATTTGTATGCTTCTCCGACTGATCAGCTGCGCACATTCAATGCATGCTAGTGCGAAAGCACCTACACTTGCATATCTTGCATATGTATAAACATAGATATATATATAAACAGGTAGTAAGACTTATCTATTTTTTATTTATTTATTTTTTGTTTTTTTATTTTTATTTTTTTTGTTGGTTAAAAACATCCGAAATGAAATCTGCAAAAACCAAAAATCATAATCACGTCGCTCGTTGAAGCGTTGACGTCCTAACTGAGTATTGGTATTAACTATTTTTCTGACTGTCTGTGCGGCGTAAACATTTATATACATATGCATATACATATTTATTTAAAAATAGTCATAAAATTGCGGTAATAAAACCGCAAGTCGTAGCCACGTTAGTTATAGCCAGCAACGAAAATGTCAGCACACGGATTAGTGGGAAAGAAGCAGACAAAATAATTATTTTTTCATTTTTTATTTCCATTATTTTTTTTACTTTTCCACTGACTTTGCAGAGTGTTTTAATATATATTATCTTCACGGCTGGCAAATAATCAAATTTTTGCGCAGGGTTTTCATGAGCGCCCTGTAGGAAAGTATTAGCTGTTGCGTGATCTATAAACTCATTGGTCGTTTACAAAGTGTTCATACAAGACCATCAATTTTAGGTTAGGTCTTACATAGAACTGCTGGCTCTTTGTTGTGTCAGATGGAAGTTCTTGTTAAGCCAAAAGAGGTTTCAAAAAATTTATTTCTTTCATAAATCTATTGTAAAACTATACAAGATTATATGTATCGTAAAAACTTCAGTGGCCAATTCGACATATTTCAGAAGTTAGAGCAGCTTTAGTGACTTGGCCAAAAGTACTATTTAAACCATTTTTTTGCAACTTGAAGCGAATTTTTTTTCAAAAATAGAATTTTTTACATTTGGAATTTTGTGACATTTTTCCAGCTCTTCGCTATTTTTTCAGTTCATATGGAAGAGGCACTCTTAAAAATTAAATAAAAAATTTAGTTCGACTGTTTCTGATGCATCGCACGACCTCCAACACCGGCACGGTTTCATGAGTTAAGACTGTAGGCGCTTCAGAAAACTCATTAGAAAATTACAATATTTTTGATACTAAATATTTTTTTTTGAATCTTAAATATAGTAGATTATTATCTGAAAATGCCTTTACTGCAATAATTTCCTTCACTTTCAAAAAGGTTACTGAAAAAATACTTTTTCCCGGGTTCTAAGGGAGACTACTGCCTGAACTCAAGCTAGCGTATAGGGCGTCAATGCTTTATACGAGGTTTAAGTGAGTGATTTAGCCATATCCGTTTGTTCGCCTGTTGTACGAAAACAGTTTTTTTTTAGATGTTTGTTATCAAATTTTGCTATTTCATCTAATCCTTCGAACTGCGAAGCTTCTAGGTGTCTACGATGAGTTGAATTACAAAGCCGGCAAGAAGCAGAGGAGGTGTTTCAGCCTCTCAATTAAGACTTTTTCCTTGTACTACCTTCATGTGTTATTGTTTCACTTTGCTGCATTTGCACCTGTCCTTGCATGATACGTCTCCCAGACCATTTAAAAATCTCCTTGTATTTTCATCGATTTTCCTAGTTCCTTTACTGGTTCAGTAAGCTCGTCGAAAGCTTCGCTTTAAAAATACTTCAGTTAACCGAAAGCTGGAAGTGCAATATCTTCCGGCACCTAATCCATCAACCATTGTTAATCCCTCCATGTAATTGTCGCAAGTTCCGCTGGGGAGCATTTTTCCCAGAGAAAACGAAGTATTTAATATATTTTATCCATTCTCTTGTTTAGTGATTTTGTTGCAAAGCTTTTCATTGCTGTGCTGAGAGGTAGATAGGTGGGGTAACCTTGGCGCATCTGCTATATAGAGTGCAGCGGATCGCATTAGTCCAGGCGAGAGGTCCCAGTTATACCCTAGCAATTTCATGTGAGCGCAGAGGGTGTAGAGTATAAGTCTTTTAAATTGAAATTAGTTAAAATTTACATAGTTTTATTTCTTTTGCTGTTATTCTGCTCATATCTTATCTAAGCGACTATTATGCCGTTTTATTTTTATGACATTTGATTTTTCACTGAACAAACTCTGTGATATTTTCATTGAACACACTTTGCTGCGTTGCCTGAATATCTTTTTGATAAAATTTCTAAATATTAATTATTATTTCTGACCTATTTTGTAGGATTTTATTACGCTTATTCTAATGAAATATGAGTTTCAATGTCTTAGAAGCTCTCAATTAGCTAATTGAGTACCTGTTTGAATGATATTTTAATTACCTTTTTTTCAAATTACATAATCTAATCTTTGCTCATACCCCTTTTTTGTTGCCCATTTTCTGCTAGTTTTCATGCAAATGATTATTAATGAATTCTTTTAAATCAACCACACTGATAAAAACTGTTTTTGTAATACGGAATTTTTGATGATTTTTAATTATGTCAGCATAGCCTCATTAAAAATGCATTATTATTATTTTGTTTCATTCACAAACAGTTTTTTGTGACACCCACATATTTATTTCTAACCTTATAAATGCTCCCTTGTTTGGGTAGCTTCATTTGACCGACTATATAACTTTATCACACAAACCATCTCCGTGAAATATGTCTTAATTACTTCGTAAGTAGTATGCCAAGCTTGTCTTCGGCCAAAAAATCCATCCTTTATAGTGGCGACCTGCTTTGCCAAAACCTTCTAATGGATAAGTAAGATCAGATTCTACTGAGAAATCGGTCCTAAGTTAGCATGATGAGGGATCTTAAGATAGGAGCCGAAGTTATGAGCCATCAACTTCAAAAACATTGCACTTTTTGACACAAAGTGATTGAAATCTGTCTAAATTACCAGGCTAAACTTGACTGGCAATGTTTTACGCTTGTCGTACAGAGCTTTTTTGGAAACCACAAATCAGAAAACTATAAAGAATTAATGGCTCTACTTTTTACATCATGACGACGCGCCATTCCACACTGCTGAAATAACGAGTAATTTTACTGCGATCTCTGGGCTGGAAGAAATACGTCCAGTACCATATCCTCTGCTTATTTCGAAAAAATTTAAAAAAATTTAATATGAAAGGTCTTTAATGGCAACGAGGAGATGATAATTAATGCGATTTATGCCAAACTTAATAAGCTTAAACAGCAAAGTTTTGAGGACCTGTTTCTAGAAGTGGATCTGTATGCTTGAAAATACATTTAAATCAATGGCGATTATGTAGAGAAGATAAAAAAGGACAACGATTTCGAATAAATTCACTGGTCATTTTTCTGCTGAATTTTTTTTTGGGTTTCTATTTATTTTTATGGAACTGTTTCACACCAATAAAATTTTTTGGAAATAGTAAAAATTTTACAACAATAGTTTTGGACGTTGGAAGTTAAAGCTGCTATTTCGGAAAGCACCAAGATTTTTTTTTTTTCTGGTCAACTTACCCAACTTTTGTTAATCCCCTCGTATACATTAACTGGAACCATAAATAAGACTTTTTGGATTAGATTGTTACCTTAAATAATTACCCGATCGGATATTAGTGCTTCTGCTTGTCCAAGCAAAATACTATTTACTCGATTACTCGAGAATTTCAAGGAAATCGAACCGTAAAAACGATTTTGTCGAATAGGTCAGTCCTTGGTCGAATAGATCAGTCCCTGGGTGTTAATATCCACCCTATTCCCATATTCATCGAAAATTACTTTTTCATGATTTTGAACCAATTATCGAACCACTTTTGCCACTCTGATTAAGGTATCTCCAAAATAGGCGTTCTGAATGCTGCAGCCGCATCTTCAGGTTTCGAAGAGCATTGACCTCACTCTTTATTTTTGAGTATGGGCATGAAAGGAAGCCGTTCGGTGACAAATCAAAAACTTACCAAAATCGAATTTACTGTTCTACTTTGTTTTAGTGATACGGTTCTGAACTGTGAGCTGTCCAGTTTTTCTCAAAAAAGTCATGGAAGTTGTTCAGTGTTTTTCGAGTGAAATGTGATTTCTGCTTCAATATTTTAAAATCAAAAATTAATATTTAATAAAATACTCATTGTGTATGTATATTGTGAGGTATGTATAAATAACAATATGTATGTTTATTATTTCGTATTAAAAATATTAACAACTTTAAAAGCTCATTGTTATATGGGTCTACAGTGTATGAACTATTATAAAAAAGAGTGCAAAATTTATTTTAAAAAAATTATGCTACAAAAAATATTGAAAAAATTTTAATGAATTCTCCGAGGTCTCCAATTTTTAAAACTTGTTTTAATCACGCACATATGTGCCCAAATAACGGTCACACATGCCACAGTAATGCGCTGTATTCATGCAACTGCCAATGCAATAGGGCAAACAAACGCAGCAATATAATCTGGAAATTCGAGAAGGAAAATTTAATTATTATCTACGTAAAAAAGTCATTAAAAATTTTTTTAAATGAAATAACTTAATTTTTATCTAAAATGTATTACAGATAATAAACTGGTTAGATGGCGCAACAGCCAATTTACCAACGAGAGAAGTCAATAGACCAACATTAAGCGGTCAGAGTACTGAATTACCGTTCTATAGAACCAAAGAAGCGATTTCCTCCTCCATGTTTTTTTTTATCAACAGAAGGAGGAACCTACAGTTCTGATGGATTTTTATAAGGAACTTGAAGGCTTGAACATTCACTGCTGATGATCCAAAGGAAATGAAAATATTAATTTTATATTGAATTTATATGATTTTGAATATTTTCCTAGCCAGGGTGCGAAATCAAGATCATCCACATGGTAGTTCGTACTGCTAATCATTTGTCCCAACTGATCTTTAAGTAGTACAGTATTTTATTACTTCCTTTATTTATTTAACTCGCCGGTAACATATAGTGAGTAATGTGTTTGTCACAACAATCTCTCAATAATCAATTCTGTCTCTATAAAAAGCTTAAATTACGGGAACTATGTATTCTCATAGTAATCACAAATGCTTATCTGGTGGAACTGTTTCTGACCAAATTTAGGATGTGTGCTTTTCATTCAGACCTTTCAGAGTTCAGTACGCCTAGGGCCACAGCGTCCTAATTTTCTTTTTGGACTAGATGCGAATAACCAATAAGTAGCCACCGACCAAGTGCGACAGGAGAAGAGGGTTCGGCTTGAAAGGCCCGAATAAGGCCTGTCAATCTCCGGTAACAAGTTGAATATATGCCGCCTCGTAATAAGCATCCACAACCTACAAATACAACGAAACCCGTTACCCATAAATCTCCAAATGGAATGCATCTATGTAAATACGTGTAAGAGAATAACCACTGGACTAGTGCCCATCAGGAACGAGACCAGTAAGATCCTGATTAAGGTATACTGGAAACATCTTTACGAATAAGTTAGCTTCTGGGCTGGTGAGAGTGGTATTCTCACACTTTAGTAAGTAAGGGTCAAATCATGCTGAAATGGCTGGCAGGCTAATACCACAATTGCTCCCGTCTCGTTAAAACTCTGGCAGGTCTCCAAGCACGTTGACATTAATTTGGTCGTACAGGTTTTGGCCGACAGTTCCTCAGAAGAGAGTTTTTTTTATGTGACGACACAATGATGATGTGGAAGGCATTTTTCTCCTCCTCACCCGCACAAAAGAAAAATAAATAAAAATAAATAAAAAATTCAGAGTTCAGAGGAGCATTCAATTCTAATCTTCATTTTTAATACAATTTTGACATCCCGAAACGAGCATTTTTAAACTGAATGTTTTCATGTTGTGGAGCTTCTAATTTGAAGGGTTTCATTGTAGTAGTTTATCTAAGTGATTGATATCAAGCTCTATAAACAATCCCAAGAGGTTCGACTTTGCACTCTAGCTTCAAGCGATTGATGATTAAGACGCACACCACAAATAGGAGACGGAACTCGGCCGAAAATTAGTGATTGCACATGTATATCGACCGACCCTCATGAAAGCACGCTGCATAGAGCTACATATACAGGCGAAGGCGAACAAGTTTCTAATTCTCCCTCTTCTTTATAATCTTGTCGATACGGTTTCGGGTTTTCGAATTACGAATTTTTCGAAGTACAACTGAGCATTGCGATCATTAAAGTTTCCACGAACCTTTTTTTGCATTCTTTTTTCACAAAAATATTTTACTTTTTTACTTTTCATAAAAGAAAGTCTTAAAAGTACAACATAGAAATACTCACTGAAAGAGACACAGCAACAGTGCAATCAAATGTGTACGCGAAGTCGGTCTGAAGCGCAAGCGAGTGCGTGTGTAGTTGTGGCAGTAAGGACATTGTATATCCACCGGCACTGGACCGTATAACACCGGCGCACCAGCTGAATGAAATGAGAGGAATACGAAAAAAAAAGAAAAATGAGAAATAGAAAAATGGCGCAATAAAGAAGCTTCAGCAAAAAAAAAATTCAAGGTTGCGTCACTTACGTGTAATTACAACAACATGTGATGTACTCGGCGTTGTGGGTGCGGCACCACCTGTTGCCTGCGCATAAGTAGGCGGTGCGGGTGGCAATAAAGACTGCTGCTGCTCATTGGGCGACACTGGTTGCTCGAGCGGCGCTGATGGGTAGATGCGTGGTGGTGTAGTTGATTTGCTATCCATATTCACAGAATAAATATTAGTAAAAAAAAAAAACGGTTTGGAATGTAAATATTTATTCACTATGCTTGCGTTTTGTGTTTTTATTAATTTAATTTAATTTATTTTTTTATTTTTTTTAACTCCGTTTTGTGTGCTCTCAACACTTTGCCGAAACTAATTGCGTTCCGCCTTTGGCAGGTGTGACGCGCCGCTACTATTGCACTCATTTATCATACTGCGGAGCGTTCACGTACGCTAAACGTTTTCCGATTTCGGCCGACACAAGTCGAAATCGAAAAAAAGAGATAATAAAAGTAAATAAATAAAAAGATAAATAAATAAAAGAAATTAAATAATAAACCTATAGTAAATCAATAAAAACATATAAGTATATATGTATGTATGTATACGATACTGTATTGTATTTATCTATAATGTAGCTACATTCATTATACATATGTACATATATGTATGCAAGTAAGAATGTTTATATACAAATATACATACATCTCTATTTAGGTGTTGGAAAAAAGTAGTAATAAAAAAGGCAATAACATAAACAATATGTGCTACTATGCACAAATAAATATACAAACATATACATATACATAGATATATGTACATATTATGCCTTTATCTTTTGATATCGGCACCCATTGGTATGTAGAAATTAATCGATTTCAAGCGAAAAGCTATAATTTCTCATGCCATCGACATTCGCGGTCATTTCAAGTGTAGAGCATTCGGTAATTTTTTTATGTACATGTATATATGTATATGAGATTATCCATTTCGTGGTTTCAAAAGTACAAAAGTACAGTGCTGTATTTTGTATTTTTTAGTTTAAAGTCAGGCTTTTATGAAAACGGGTCACTGAACAATCTCTTTAAGAGCTACTACCAAAATGGTGATTCCAACGTTGCCAATTTTCACGCTTTAAGAGGGGAATATGGTGCACTAATTAGAAGAAACTGGAACGTCTATAGATATTATAAGGTCTATGCATCTAAGTTTTCCTTTTTCCACCTCAAATATCGCTGCTGTAGGTGAAAGTGTAGGCGAAGACCTGACCTGACTGTGTTTATTTCTCGAAGTCCTCAAGTGCTGTTACTCTCATACGGCACATTATGGCGTACTTTGCTTTTGGATTTACTCACACATCCATATAAAATCCAGCTCACACAGCAACTGAAGCTAGCTGACCATTCATAACATTCGGACATACGTTCATGGGGTGTAGACGGCGGCTTATAGGTAAAGATTTTCTTCAGCGACGCAGCACATTCATCATTCAAGCACCGAAAAACCTCATAAATTTAACTGAAGAGTGGCCATTACACCCAAAAACTTGCTGTCTGGTGCGTTCTTTAGTCCAGAGGTTTGATCGGATCTGTCTTCTTTCAAAACGACAACGGTAGGACTGTCGCTGTGAATTCGGAGCGTTTTGGTCGTATGGTATCCAACATTATTTTTACCAGGTATTGGATACTGTGCGGTTTCATCAAGTTGGTTTCGAATGACACAGAACACGAGCGAATAACGCTTTCATGCGAGAGAAATTTATCGTCAGTGTAATCTCTCTTCTTGTCGATGTCAATTGGCCACCGAGATCTTGCTAATTTATACCGTGACACTTTTTTTTTTGGGCAACGCAAAAGACGGTGTTTATGCTGATAAATTTTAACCTTTAAGCACTTTAAACCACTGACTGAGATACCGTCCAATATGTGCCGAAAATTGGTCGAAAATTACCTTAAACCGATCGAAGTTTGCGAAAACTTACGAGGCGGTTACATAAATGATGTAGTGTTCCACATATAATGCCAAGGTTCAAACGTTATAAAAATAAATTAATTTCTTGAAGAAGCGCATTTTATTGTTGAAACCGCAAAATGGCTAACCGTTTACATTCTACTGTGTATAGCTTTTGCCGATTAGTCAGTATGCACTCAATTTCTTCCGCTACTTCATGACATTCCTACTGATAAAAATATCTTTTATTTGTTTATATTCAATTACTCATTCTTACACTCACTCTCTTTGTCTTTTTTTCACCATGAGTTTACTTTGAAGTGAACAATTGAGTCGCTATGAAAGGCTTCCTCTCACACCTGAAGAGAGAAATCACATTCGTTGGAAATGAGTGCTTTTTGTGAGGTGAAGATCAGTACATCAGTTCCACGAAAAGTTCTTAATGAATCTATAGTCAATTGAAAACTCTATCCTTTTCTATTTATGGTTCAAAGCAACACAAAACTTTCGATGTGCTCAATGACTAAATGAACAATCCTCTAAGTAGCCAACAACGAACCGAGTGGGGCCGAGTTCCGCGCAGCTTTGTTGAAAAAGATTGGTAAGCAGCTAAAAATGAGAAACACTTCCTTTGGCAATGGCGAAGGTAAACGCTTCAAGAACTAGGAATTTGGAAACAACTCCTATCCGACCGGGTCATGTTTCCAATACAGTTAGAGGCCTGTGATTGATGTGATAATTCGAGGGTTGCATTATTTAGTAAATTTCCGATAGACATGGCCGATTACCGATATAACCAAAACCATTTTGGTCATAATTTGAATGGTACTATGATTTGGTGTAGAAAAGACGTCTTTACATACAAAATATACGAAGAACTGAAATATGGGAGAGAGAGAAAGTGATTGATTAAAAAATACTCGAGAAGATCCATTGACGTATGTAAGACGCATCAAGATCGTGTAGAAACGAAATTCGCGTTCTGTTTATAGATGTCTCGGCACATAAAATTATAGAAAGAATACTTCTCTATCTTTACTTGCGGTAAGCAGTTGATAAGATTAGTACATTAATTCACTCCTTATCGAGATATTTTTGGACAAACCTGATGATTGAAACCAGAGTATGGTAGTCATATGGAGGGCCGTAGGAATATTCTCCCTCACAATAATGTTAGGAGTTATTACTCAGATCTTATAATTGTTGTTGTTGTAGCGATATCCTAGCCTCGGACAGGTTTAATCAATCTAAGTCGCCGAGGTTATCTAATGGGAGGTCCAGGAAACGTGATGTTTCGACGGGATTGGACCAGAGAGAGAGGGAGGTTAGATGTGTCGGCTTAAGGGGGCATGTGAAGAGGTGGTTGGTGTCGTGTGGAGACTCTCCACATGCGGGGTATACGTTGGGTGCGCTGGGGTCGAGTCTGGATAGGTAGAAGTTTAACCTGCTACACTATCCAGGCCTAAGTTGTGCCAAGGTCTGCTATCCAGCAGTCAGATCTCTTTCATTTACTATGGCTCCAACCTTTAGATATTATCTGGGAGAAAAGGATCGACATGGATAACATTCTTGTCGATTTTAAAGTAGGCTGCAGCAATATGAAAAGGAGTTACATATGCGCGGATCTATCACAAGTTGGTCGGCTATTGAGGCCGCCCTCTTACAACAGCATTACTGTTTTACTATGAAATTACACTATTAGTCAGACCCGGCATTGTTTAAGCAATTTCAACTCAAAGCGGTTAAATAACTCAGGTTGCTCATTTCGTGTTGTTGCTTACCATGTTATTCGATATCCTACTTAATGTTCTTTTGCAAGTTGTGTGTGAAATAAGAGAGCTATTGTTAGAGAGCTTCGTAACACTTTCTATTTGAAATCAAAGCTAAAGAGAGAAGATAGAATCGATAGACTAGTCGAAATATATCCCGGCAATCTAACAAGCGGTATGTGACCAATGAGTCCAGGAGCTAATTATTGCACTAAATCAGTTTGGATCCATTTGAAAAAGACTGGGTATACAAAGAAGTCCAATGTATGAGTATCACATGAGCTAACGAGAAAAATCCTCATCGACCGTATTTCTATCTGCGAATCGCAAAAAAACCGACCTATTTATTAAGCGGATGCTGACAGGTGATGAAAGATGAATCTCACTCACAGTAACGTCAAGCGAAAACAGTCTAGATAAAAAAACAGTGAGTGGGTATAAATAATCTCCAAGCCAGGATTGACGGCCGTAAAGGATTTGTTAAGTGTTTGATGGGATTGGCAAAGTATCATCCACTATGAGCTGCTTCACTACGGCCATACACTTCATTCGGGCCTGTACTATCTTGCGATTAGACCGTCTGTAGAAAGAAATCGCACAGAAGTGCCCAGCTTTGGTCAAGAGGAGAGGAATTGTGTTTCATAAGGACAACGCCAGATCAGACACATCGATATTTACACGCCAGAAGCGCCGAAAGCTTGATGGGAAGGTTCTTATGCATTTACTTTAGTCCGGATAGTCCAGACCTCGAGCTAACTAATTAAAATTTTTGTTCTGTAGTTTGCGTGTAATTTGGCTGGTAAAGAATTGATCTCAAGAAAAATCTGTGAAAAGCTTTTGTCCCAATTCAGGTTGCTATGTGAGTGAAGTAATCACATTATCTTCAAAATGGCAAAAAGTTATCAAGAAAACACTGGATATCTGATATAAATTGGCTCACATTTTCCTTGACCATTGACGTATTAGTAGTAGCAATTTTTTTATGTGTATTTAATTATTGATTTTTGTTGCTCGAAATTATAAATACTAAAGTCTCCATAACAAAATAATTTAAGTAAATGAATTAAAAGCTTTACATTTATCACACTATTTTCGTAGTTGTTTGCAGCAATTGTGTTACTTTACTACGTCAAACATTATGTCAATAAGCCGATTAAGTGTCAGTGTCCAGTAGTAAAGCATAATAAATATGTGCATAACTATACACTGTTGTTGCTCTTGCTGGTAATTAGAGACTAGTCCAGTATTATTCGTGTTGCTAATTTCCGGTATACGGAAGATTCGACAAAATTTAGTACAATGTGTTTATATATTATTAAGCGTGTTTGTGAAAATAATTTGTTTATGATTGATTTCATATTCATAATCGACAATTCTACATGCAAGTAAATATACAATTTAAGTATATTCGACCGCAGAAGTTGTCATGTGCGTCAAATTAACGGTTGATCAAGATTACTGAGGGGATTTTTTTTATTGATGACACATTCTTATTTGCTTCTGTATAAAAATATGTGTAACTACATATAAATACACATATATGTATTAACATCCATATGTGTGTCCCTTTTATATTTCCACGTTTTGTGCGTTATTTGCCTATTTTAAAATTTATTTAAAATATTTTGCAACACATATTTTTACAAAAAAAAAATCAGAAAAGCTACAGATGTTATTGTTTTTTTTCTTTTTAAATGTATATATTTAATATAAATTGTGCAAAATACTTAAATTTGCCGTTTTTCTTGCTTTTGAAAATTTTAAATATAATATTTTATGTATATATATGTATATTTTTGTATAATACAGTACATAAAAATAACAATTCATTTTAGGTTTTTCAAATTTTCAATAATTTCATACATTTTTTCAGCTTTAGTGTCGAGAAATTGAAAAAGAAAATTTAAAAGAAAATAATATAACAACTTTCACACACTTATAAATATATGTACATATGCGAGTATAATAAAAATGTGTTAAAAAGTGTGTGTTGTCCAGTGTTAAAGGTCAATAATTCTTAGCTTGCTTGTGAGCACTTTTGCCAATCCATTAGAATCCACCGCCATTATATGTGCCCAGATATTTATTGCAATTGCCGCAGTAATGGTTTGTGCTCATGCAACTTTCCGCACAGTAGGGCAAACAGACGCAACACCATAAGCTAAAAAGAATGAAAAATAAATAAAATAAATAAAAATTAATTATTAAAATAATATTTTTATTTTTTTTTTAATTCTATTAATATTATTTTAATAAATTTATGTACATAAATATACACAAAGCGAACTGAGTTTGTATATATCAAAATGATTTTGTGTAAGCGTCTATAGACTGTGTGCATTAAGTTTTAAATTACGCAAATGTTATAAGATTCATTGTTTATGATGTGCACATGTCTGGCATATGGACAATATTAGTTATTATATTTTGTACATTAATCTTTCTCAGTTGCATATACACTACAAATAATGCGCATTTTTATCAGACAAACAAAGCATTAATGGTATAAATGGTGTCTGTGATAAGATTTATGTTATGTCAAATTATTTTATTTTATTTTACTTTATTTATTCTATTTTTTTGTATTTTACTTTATTGTGTTATAATTAATTATTTTAAATTTTTTATATTATTTTTGTGTATTTTTTATTTTATTTCTTTCATTATTTAACTTAATTTTTTTATTTCATGTAATTTTATTTTATTTTTATTTTTATATTTTATTTATTATATTTATTTTTATATATTATTTATTATTTTTATTTTTATATATTATATTTTATTTTTAATTAGTTTTGTTTTATTTTGTTTTTGTTTATTTTATTTTAATTTTCCTATTTTGTTTCTCAATTTGTTTTGCTTTATTTTATTTTAATTTGTTTTTTTATTCATTTTATTTTAATTTAGTTCATTTATTTTATTTATTTTTTTATTAATTTTGTTTTATTTATATTTTTTCGTTTAAATCTATTTTACTTTGTTGTTTTGTTATTTATTTTATTAAAATCCATTTTTATTTATTTTGGCATTCAATTTTATTATATTTTAATTTTTTTTATTATATTTAATTCCATTTTTTATTTTATTATTTTTATTTTATATTTTATTTTAATATTATTTATTTTATTTTATTTTATTTTATTATATTTCATACTATTTTAACTAATTTAATTTTAATTTAATTAAATTCTTATTTTATTTTATTTTTTGTTTCATTTTAATTAATTTTGATTCAATTTTTAGTTTAACTTGTTTTAATTTATTTAATTAATGCATTTTTTATATATTTTTTGCTCGTTTCTTAATTGTAGATATATGGTTTAATTTTTGCCCTATTCTTAATTAGTAAGAATTTTCTTACCCCACTATACACAATATTGCTGCCATTAAATGCGTCCTGGCATTTGGTTCAAATCCGATGCGTGTTAGTTTGGTTACGTGACAGCCTGGGCATGTAATGTATGTTGGTTCTGGTCCCAAGGGCAAAATAGCTTGTTCTATAAAATAACGAAAAAACAACGTATTAATGCAGAGTCAAGGAAAGTTTTTGTTTTTAATATTAATTTCTTTTTTATATATTTTTAATCTTCAAATTCTTGTGCAATCTCATGCAGTTTTCAAGTACTAAATATTTTTCTTGGTTGTATATTATACATACAAATATATTTGAAAAATAACTGATTAAACTTTGCCGTTCATATGTAATCATTATAAAGGTTATGAATAATTCGGCAGTTTACAGGGTAATGATTATCTTCACTAAAACAGTGACGTCAAGGATATGACGTAAATACATCATACTTTTATGTATGAAAGAAATGTTGTTCCATATATTCAACAATAACAACTGCGACCCAGAATATTTTCAGCATTTTTTTTAATTTAAATTTACGATAAAGCAAAAAACAAAAACCTATTAGAAAGTGAATGAAATCCACCAGGAAGCCAGGAAATTAAATTTTAATTCAAAAATGTCTGTAATTCATACACTCAAATTAATATATGATAGACAAGAAATAACTCAATACAAAATAAAATTGTGCATGCGTGTTTGCAAGTAAATGGTCAGTAATACGAGTGTTACGCCATATCTACTACCTAAAGCACAATTGAAATGCGAGTTAGCCTTTCATTAGCAAAAATAAAAAGTAATTTTAATACCGAGCAGAACCGCAAAGTGTAAGCATGCGTGAATAGTATATCAAGTAACATTTGTGGAAATTTCATTCATAACAACACCGAAAAAAATGTGAATTACCAGGACAGTTGGAAAATGTATGAAACAATTGAAGAAGAAAAAATAATAAAATTAAAAAAGGAAATAATAAAAATTAAAATAAAACATAACAAAATTAAAAAAATTAAATATGTTAAAATAAAATAACAAAATCTTATAATAAAATAAAATAAAATAAATAAAATAACATAAAATAAAGTAAATAAAATGAAATGAAATAATATAAAGGAAAAAATAAAAGAAAAGAAAATTTAATAAAACAAAATAAAATAAAAGAAAACACAATAAATTAAAAACTAAAATAAAATAAAATAAAATAAAATAAAATAAAATAAAATAAAATAAATTAAAATAAAATAAAATAAAATAAAATAAAATACAATAAAAAAATAAAATTAATCAATAGAAAATAAAAAAATGAAATAAAATAAATAAAATTAAATAAAGTAAAATAAAATATAATACAAAAACCCAAATTCAAATAAAGTAAAATTATGGACTTTAACTAAAAATATTTCTTAAAAAATTTATTAAATTTATTTAGAGTGCGTCATTTGTTAATGCATTTATACATATATTTGATTTAACTTTTTTTTTTTGCGATGGCACAAGCCAGCACTTGTCGCCTGATGCACAGCTGCTTTTGTTAAATATGTATGTTTGTATATATATATATATATGCATTTAACAATTACAACCTCATCTCAATACGTCAATTATGTTAATGATTCACACTTTATAATATGATGAGAGATATCTTTTACTTACGTTGTATTATCACCACAGGCGGTTGTCCTGCCGCTGACGCATGTGGCACATAAGCATGATGTGGTGGCGGTACACCACCAGCACCCCCCATGTTGGTGGCGCCATAATGTGTGCTACCGCCATAGGTGTGTTGTGTGCCTGCGCCTGTGCCACCAGTTGATCCGGCAGCCGCCGTTTTACCACTGCTCTGCTGTTGATGTTGTTGTTGCTGTTGTGCCGGTGATTGGCTTCTAGTCTCTGAAGAAGTGCTAGGAGTGGGTAATACCTGCACTGGTGGATATGGTGATGTGTTATGAATGGCTTGGTCGTAGGATGGCGGCGCGGCGGCTAGCTGCTCGGTGTAGCCGCTGTGTGTTGCTTCTTGCATCTCGGCTGGCATACGCGGATAATTGCCGGCGGGTTCTCCCGATTTCTCCATCACCAATTGGTGCTTTGTTTATGTTATTTATGTGTGTTTTGGCTTTTCGTATTCAATTAATGTCAATGACTTGAATTTTAATACCCTTTTGCTGTTTGTTTTCCTTTAAATTCTCGATTAAATGGAATGCTTTCTGTATTAATTTCTGACACGTACACAAATAATTATAATCACTTTTTGCTGCCTTTGTTTCACACTCCACTGAGTCGAGTCTCAACTCTGTTGTGAAATATGTAGGCTGTTTTTGTTTTTATCTTTTGTTCAAATCTTTTAAAATTCTCGGTCTCCCGCTTTCGAGTTTCACGTTTGCTTCTTTCTGTTGCTGGCAATTGACTGGTTGTCGGTTTCACTTTGCAGTAATTTGCTTTTGGGTCTTCGTTGGCGCGTGAGTCACTTGTTCGGGTTGCTTATCAGTGCGCTTTTACGAATGCTCTCGGTCGTTCTACACGTAGTAAACAAAACACCGTGAATTTGCGTTGCCAACCAGTTTTTGTCGAAATACAAATATTCGTATTTTGATGCGAGCTTTTCGTATTAACTGTTTCCACATTTAAGGCTTAACTTTTATCAAGCTAGTTAGTTAGCTGCAGGCTATAATCGATTGCTTGGCTGTTTGTTAATCTTAGATTTCCCGCTTAACAAATCTAGACAAATATAATTGGCTCGTTTTAACCGCTGAAGCGATTTTGATCAAATCCTCTGCCCCGATTTATGGTGTGCGTCGAACAAACGAAGGGTCTTACTGTTTATTCTAAGGCGCCTTCGAATGACTAATGGATTTTTATGAGAAATACACACGGAGGGTTTTACCAATAGCGATTTCAATCAGAAAATTAGATTGGTCGGACCAGAATTCGAAGCCCTGATCTTCTGTATGGAAAGACTGATAATACCTCGGCTATTTCGACCGGCGGACATTACATGATCAATAATCTATTACAGGAGAATAAAGTTGTCTCGAAACTCAACGTTCCAAATTTTTGGTAACACTTTTGGGCTGATTAGAAACTCCATATGCATTGGAATAGAAAATATATAAATGATGGAGAACCGAATATTGTTAGTCATAAGAGTTCTTAAAAGAAAAGCTGTTATATTAAAATCTGAAACAACTAAAGGATACAAATACTTAGATAAGGCCAATGTGAATAAAGGAATAATCGACCTTAAAATAAATACTCTGTCACACCCTAACTAACTGAATTGCTAGAAGGTTTCATACCTCACCTTGCTTGCCAACTGGATCCACAAAAATTTAGCTTATGTATTTAGCTTAGGAAGAGCTAACTTACGGTCAGATGGCATACCATAGATGACGAAGCCTATCTCCGGTCTCCAGTGGAAAATGATTGTGTTAAACTCACTATTCGTTATATCAAAAGTGCGCAGGAAATCCCTAGATCAGATACCAAGTGCAGTCGGATCTGATCTGAAATATATTTCCAATGCAGTGAAAGTCCACTTCCTCTTCATCATATTCTTCTTTAACCTTCGAATACTGCCTCGCATACATTTAGAATTGTACTGTTTTCGTCCTTCCGGATAGCATGACATGGCCGATGTCTCTTAATTCGCTACGTCAATGTAGCCATTTCTTAAACAGCCATATTTCTTATTCATCTCATTATTCCATCCTCTACTGTATTGAACGTTCTCAATGTGCAAAGATCCGAACCCTTTTTCGCAAATCGTTTTCAAAGGAAACTCTTAACTCCAACTCTTTTGAGTTTTGGCAATCGTCCAAGCCTTCGAATCATAGAGCAGAATGCGAATGATGAGGGAATTGAGCAATTTGATGTTTGTTCGTCGAATGAGGACTTTAGTTTTCACGCAGGAGTGATATCGAATTGTATAAAAGCCACTTGAGAGCCAGGACGCGGGTTCACGGACTATTCATTTCATGACTGTTTGTTAGGCAAACTTTTACTTTAAGGAAAAATAAACTGTAGGTTAGGAGTAAATCATCATAATAATACTCAAAGCGCTAGCCGGCAGCACCTGGGGAAAGACAATAAAATTTTGCTGGCAACTAGCAAAACAATTGGCCGGCCCGTCGCAAACTAAGCTGCACCGATCTGGACGCCGGGGACGAACGAGACGCAGATGAAGAAGTTACAGGCTTGCCAGAACACCGCCCTCAGGACTACGACAGGAATCCTCCTGATGTCGCCGGAGCAACACTTGCACAGCGAAGCACGATTTGAAAAACATCAACCAGCAATACGTACAAAAACCGTTGAACAGGCATTGAACGCCATTCGCCAGGAGTGAGTCAACACCTTTAAAGACTCCCTTCCAGTGAATGGCGTGCTCGGAGTAAAACCACCACCCATAGCAGACAATGAGCTCGAGCTGTCTCGAGAGACCCGCGTGACCTTGGCACAACAGGTAGCAGGTTAATCTCCTACCTAACCAGACTCGACCCCGCATATTCAACGTATGCCCTGCATGTGGGGAGTCTTCCCCTGACACTAACAACCTCTATACATGCCCCCTTAAACCGACTCACTTTAACCCCCTCTCCTTTTGGACCAATCCCGTCGAAACAGCACGTTTCCTGTACCTCCCTCTACATGACCTCGGCGACTTAGATTGATAAAACCGGTTCCTAAGCGAGGTTAGCGAACCGCTACAACAACATAAAAACAAAAGCAACAACAACATTACATCTTCAGGCACCCAAAACTATATCCATCTTAAAAGGGAATCGACAATACGTATATTTCGGCTTTGTTCTGGTTAACTACTCATTTTTATAAACTCCTTTTGTGGTAGAAAATAAGGGAAGTGGGCGAGTAAAAATTTTTCCATGAATGCCAGCCCATTATTAATAAAACTTTCAGTGAATCTTTAGCAATTGTTAGCAACTCTGCGTATCATTAATCACTGCTAATCTTAACAGAGATCTGTGAGGGCTTAATGCTTACCTTTTTCTATTTGATAATTAAATATTTCCCTAGATAATGAGACAAAATAAAAGAACTTCAATTCAAGTGATTAAATAATCTTTTTAAAATTACTTGCAATTTACACTTTTATTGAGATTATTAATAGTTACAAAAACAACTTCAGATTATAAATATAAGTAAATCCACTACAAATTACATGCTTAGCAAGCAAAATTACTGTGCAATTAAGTAATTTCTATAGAAAATACAAGTTTTAACATTTTCATGCTGATTTTTTAAATTTCTTCAAAAAACTGCATAATTTTGTAGAAAACTGTAGAAGTGTTGCAAAAAACTCATAATAAAAAGTGAAAAAATTATATAGTTCCAGAAATATTTTTGGCATTTTCTGTTGACTAGATTTTCGAATTATATCGAGATTTGACACAGAAATGTATTTAAATTATTTCACCCTCAAATTTAGAGAAATTTTAGTTATCGAATTTATATGAATTTTATTTTTATACACTTTTTTATTTCTAGAGTTCGGTGATATTGTTGCGATAATGCTCCTCAACGATCGTAGACACCCAAAAAGACATTACATGAAGGGCAGTAGTGTTCCACATTGCGAGCTCATTCCGTACAGTACACAGCGCAAGCACAGGGTAAGCAACTGAAAATATTTTAATGTATAAGGAAATAAAAAATATGCATATATTTTCTACTACGATAAAATGTTTGCCCTTGTCTATCCAATTTATCTAGATTCTCTAGAGCAAATTATTTATTTCATTAACATAATATCAAATCCGATAGAGTAATAACATGAGAGTTCGGGTTCGGCTTCCAGAAAATAAATCAGATAAAAAAAATTATTTGTAGTCATTGATTGCCGATTTCAGCATTCGACTGGGAGGCAATTATTTTCAATTATTTCTAAAAACTTTATTTTGAATCATTTTCAATGAGGCCTCTGAGGGGAGAGAGTCTTATAAATATTCTCGTGACTTACTTGACCTAATGCCACAATAAATTTCAATAAGTCCGGTGGCGATGGACTTTAGGCCTTAACACACTAGGGTAAATAACATCTTATATGCCAATTTAAGAAGTTATATTGCAAGATTATATTGTTTCCTCAACTTAACACATTTACTCCTCTCTCTTTTTCCTCTTTCCGCACCGCATACGCTGCGTTGGAGCGCAAATGCTTTCACTATATTGCTGCGGTAATGATAATTGTACGAGCTCTTCGCATTGGAAACTAATAGTTTATGTGGCGTGTCACAGTTTTCTTAGAGGTGTGCTCTCAGAGAGTAGAAGTTCAAGTAGAATTCTTGATGTTGACGCATTTTTGGGCACCAGCACATGCGCTCAATAGGGATAAGGGGCATGAATCGATGGTAGTACGCACATTGGTGAGCAAGAGTTACGAGCCTCTACACTCGGCGATAAAAAAGTAGCTCGTTGAATTTTTCAAAGCAGAAATTAGTATTACAGATAAATATACTTTAGAACCTTCACACAATTTTCTGCCTCCCGATGAACCTCGTTTCGATGAGAACTATAAGTGGGCATTTGTAATATACAGTAAACAATAACACCTGGTAACAGGATATCGAAATCATATCTCAAAGATCATCTTCTTTCCCTCCCTTCACGCCCATCGCGTTACATCTGTTAAGACATCTAATGCAAAATACCAGGCTTTGAAGTATTTTTTTGAGGGTAAATTATAGAGAGATTAAGTACACATGGATAATCTACATTTCAACCCTACCAACCCTCGCAAACAAGTTGCCTTCAACAGAAGAAATTAGTAAATCAATCTAAAATAATATATTATACTTCCTCTCGTCTTCGCTACTTACAGCATTCCAGCGAGCAATAAAGCGATAATATGTGATTTTGAGGACGCTCTGTATTCCATACGCGTTTGCACCTGTTTCGAGCAATTCGGACAGCTCAAATTGCATGGTATGGGGCCAAGTGGTGGTAACATAGTTCACTGGGATGAGAGTAAATTAAATTGTGCTGGAATGTAAATATAATGTTGTAAAATAATATGACAAAAGTGAACAAATTGTTATTGATGGTATTTAGTTAAATCCATATATACGAATATGTATGTATGAAGTATTATATGTATGTATATAAATAAATATAATATATATTTATGTTCTTTAACTTAGATATTATCTTAGAATAAAAATAAAAATTGTAATGTATAATAATAAAAACAACAACTAAAGTTAATCGATACACCCCTGCGTGCACTCTAATGCATTTCAATCGTTAGCTGTCAATGTCATTTGTTGCATGACCAGCGAAAGTGACAAGAAAATGCGCTTTGGAATTTTTAAATTTATTTTTTTCCTCAATATTTGCTGTTAAAAAAAACTTGTTGATTTTATTTGATAGCAGTTCGTGGGAATAGGTCATTAAGCGAGCAATTTTTTCTCTCCTTCACACAAAATATGTGTGCATACAAATGTACTTAGAGTTAAATTACAACAATAATATCAATAATAATTAAATAAATATTTTATATACAGAATGAAATTCTAATACTTTCTGCAAAGCTTGATTATAAATGGAGATGTATCTAAGCCTGAAGAAATTATATTAAAAATAAAAATCAAATTTGCCGAAATAAAATACAATACAATAAAATAATAAAAAAAATTACAAATCAAAAAAAAAATTAAATAACATGAAATAAAAAAAAAAATCAAATAAATTAATAAAAAATAAAATAAATAACATGAAATAAAATAATTGAAACTTATATAAAAAAGGATAAAAAAATAAAATAAACCAAAATAAAATAAAAGAAAGAATAGTATAAACTTAAATAAAACAAGGTAAAATATTTAATAAAAAAATAACATAAAATAAAATAAAATAAAAAAAATAAAATAAAATAAAATAAAATAAAATTAAAAAAAATAAAAAAAAAAATAAAATAAAATAAAATAAAATAAAATAAAATAAAATAAAATAAAGTAATATAAAAACTCTAAAATAAAATGAATAAAGAAAAATACTACAAATCGAAAAAAAAAGAAATTTTGTTAAATTTTTTAACTAATTCATATTAATCTTAACCTAGTTGTTTTAAAACATATACTTAATTTCATTTCTTTATTTAGCAACAATAGTTTAAGGATCGAAAGGATATCTTTAAGAATATTATATGCTTTGCGCACATATTTTTGCTCTGAAAACAATGTTTATCTTAAATACACAAATTTCTGTCAAGCCTAAGAATTTATTTACATAAATAATGTAAGCAAAATAAATAACTCACATTCTGTGAAGCCTCAGAAAGGATATTTCCTACCACTCATATATATTGTACGTATGTACGCAATAATTAACTGAGCTTCACGCCTTGTTTATGAACACACCTAGAAATTTTGGGGGAAAAAGAATGTGCAAGTATGTGATTAAGTACAGCCTGTCTGTCGCCTAGCGGACTATTACTACCACTTGCATGATTAGCTACTGTTTAATAATAATATAATTTATATTCAAACTTTTACGTATTTATGTAGTGTGTTGCCTAGAGCCTCAAGCACATTTTACATATATTTAATTATTTTGTGAGACTAAATGTCGTTATTGAAGAAGGTATGTAATGTGTAAGTAAGAATTAAAGGTGTACAAATAAAGAAATCTAATTTATTGAACTTTACATTTTTTGTGGTTTGATTTGTTAAATTTAAATCTATTTTTTTGTATTTTTTTTGTTTTGTACAATATGATTTTATTTCTATTTAGCTTTATTTTATTTCATTTCAATTAATTTTGTTTTAGTTTTTCATATAACCTAATTTTATATTATTTCATTTCATGTTGTTGCCTTTTGATTTTTTATTTTATTTTATTTTAATATTTATTTTCATTTTTATTTTTTTAAGTTCATTTTATATATTGTGTTTTATTTTAGTTTTATGTTACTTTTAATCTATATCTTTTGTATAATATTTTCTTTTATTTTATTTTACTAAACTTTTTTTAATCTATTTTATTTTACTTTATTTATTTACTTAATAGAATAAAAAAATAAAATTACTATATAAGTTAATTTAATTTTGTTTTATTTAATTATTTTTATTATTTTAACTTAATTTAATTTTATTTTTTTTTTTTATTTTGCTTAATTCAATTTAATTTTATTCTCTTATGTTTAATTTTTTGATTTCATTTTATTTTTTAATGTTGTTGCTTTGTTTTATTTTATTTACTTAATTTTATTTTATTCTATATTAATTTATTTCATTTATATTACTTTATTTTGGTTTATATTATTTTATTTTTTTATTTTAACTTAATTTTATTGTATTTAATTTAATTTAGTTTTATTCTTTTATGATAGAATATTTTATTTTCTTTAATTCATTTTTTTCTCAGTTTTTTATTTACTTAATTTAATTTCATTCTATTTTAATTTATTCTTTTCCTTTATTTATTTATTTATTTTTGTACCTTCATTTTTTGTTTTATTTATTTTCCTCTAAAAATTTTAGTGTATTTTACTTTAGATTATTTTTTATTTTTACTTATTTTATTTATCTTGTTTTATTTAATTTATTCTTCTAAAAAGTTTCATCATATCTTTAGTCTCTCATCACATCACTCTTATCCTCACACAAATACATACATACCGTATTCGGTGATTTGGCGTAAGTTTTTGTTGTAATTATTTTGTTTATTAATTCTTATATAAAAATACTAAATATTTTATTGGAATCAACTTACCTGGATTCCTTTCTAATCACTGTACCAATCTAACAATTTTTTTTTGAAAAAAAAATAACTCCCGAATAACACACGTCGGTCACGGTGGGAGTTTTAAAACTATTTAATTGGTGGCAGTGAATTTGTGGCGCCAACAATATTTACCACAATGGTTAGAAATATACGTGTACAATATATGTAAGTATATGAAAAGATACAAATCTATGAGCATGCAAGCATGTGCATTAGGGTACTTACAAGGTAAATGGCTAATCAAAATTGTCTACTCTCTTTCGTGATGCCCCTCCAAAATGTGCTAAAACCCAGAAAATATGTTTTACAAAGTGTTTTCAAAGAAGAATTGTAGTCCTCGCTTAATTGTATTCCCATATATCATTAGTCTTTTAAGCAATATCAAATTTTACATCACACATCCTTTCAGGATTTGAAAATTGTATATCAATTCAAGATCTTAGAAAGGGTATGTAAAGAACGGAAGGAAATAATGCAATAAAATCGTATAAGAAGAATTATTTAAGTAGCTTTTTCTGTCCATCCTTACTTAGTATTTTCTATCTAATTATCTTCCATGTGTAAAAGAAATGGAACCTCCATCAAATGTTATTTATCGGCATTAGTAAATGAAAAACTCTCGCTTCTCGACATTGTCCTTACTGAATATATTATAAAGGAAGATTTTTTTTAGGTATTTTAGGACTGTGCCACATATCACACAGCTCGCAAAACAATGGACTTATTGAGAGGCGAGTTCGGTGAACATTTTATTCCACGTTTGGGACCGGTTAATTGGCCGCCTAGATTGTGCGACTTAACGCCTTTAGACTATTTTTTTTTCCATAACGGTCAGCCAAACAGGTTTCTGCTCGCCTTACACTTGAGAGTTTGAAGTTTGAAATTCATTTCTCTTCCCAACAGATACAACTTTGGAATGAGTAGGCAATTGAAAACTAAAGTCCTCTCTCAATGAACAGAAACAAAAATCTGCGAATTCGCTGCAGGAATTTTTCGCGGAAGATCTATACCGCAGATCAAGGAACCATGAAAATGAGAACACATCAACCTTAAGAGTTTTCAACGCAGGATCCACCAGTGAAGACAGGGGTGGAAGAAGACATTCACTCCGTTGGAAAGATCATAGTCTTCTCCCTGGCTGCGTTTGGTATATCTGTTAGCACAAAATGACGAAAAGAGGAAGCGGCTATAGCGCACAGACCTGCTTAATGAATTCTAATAAATTTTCCATGAACAAAAATTTCTTGGAAAAAATGTCTTTAATTTAAGGATGAAAAAGTGAGTGGGTTCTTTTAGCAAGTTTACTGTTGACCCAAAGCTTTGAACAATTACACCACTTTATATTCTTATGGCATATTTTCATTGGAAAATTCATTTTTTATTCTTTGTAACCACACTAATATACCTACACACATGTGCACACTAAATCATGCGAATTTTTAATGCAACAAAATATTAAAGTGAAAAAGCACTGAAAGTTGTACTCGGGCATATCTAATTATATATGTATCTTGTAATTTATCCTTTTATCTTCAAAAGTTATCTCAGCAAATTAAGTGAAATGCAGACTAAATTAATAAAAGGTACAGTGAATCACTTTTCTTGCTGACCTTCCAATCAAATGAATGCAAACATTGAGACATGCAAATGTTTAATTAACTGCGATATCACACATTCATTTAAATTACTTTTGAAAGTAATTTATAAAAAAAGATCAAATCTTCCATATATACGTATATAAATGGGTTTGCCCTGCATGACTACCTGCTCTGCGTATGACGTATGCGCCCGATAAGAAGAGGTTTTTAGGGAAGTGAACCTGGGACCGATCTAATCGAAAAATCGAATTTACTTTTAAATCGTTTCATTTACGAGTACATGAAATTTCGTACATAAATTGCTATGGAGAACAATTTTTTCCAGATAGTGGACCCGGGACCGGTCTATTCAACAAATTTATATTTATCGTCTGGCCTACATAAAAATTGCTATAGCGGCAGGTTTGGACCCAAATTACCGCTGATGAGATTTTCGGCCGAGACCCTCCTCCAATTTGTGGCATACATGCTGATGTTTTTTTTTTTAATTGAGGGACCTATAGTTTATTCTACGCCGCTTTCAAACGACCGATGGTAATGAGAGGCTTTTATTTCATGCCAGAAATATATTCGATGATATTCCCTGCCGAGGGGCGACCCCAATTAGAAAACTTAATTTTTTATTTAAATTAAATTTCTATAACCTTTGGATGGTGATCGAACGAGGACTCGAACCCTGCCTTTCAAAATGGCAGTACATAATTCTCACTACTCGGCTTTGCGCCCGCCAGTGGGATTAATTTTTACAACTTTAGACGTAGATGAACTCAGCAATAGTGCTTCAGTAAAGCGGTATCAACGACTAGTGTTTATGGTTTGGCATGGTGAATTCATACAAGATCATAGCTTAATCCGTGATTAATTTCAAATTAGTTGACGTTCCGGAAACTATTGGAGCTGTCCGCCAACTGATATTGCAAGGCTGTTATGTGATCTATCGTGAGATTGGGACAACTCTAGGCATTAGTGGGACCAGCAAACATGTAATACTGCATGAACATTTGACTGTAGAAAAAAAAACTCGATCAAGACGGATCCCACACAAACTAACCATTTGTCAATCGCTCAAACAAAGCTTAGTGTCTACTGGTCGAGAGAAATGTTAAAAAAACGATGGAGGTGCTTCGAAACGCGTCTAAGACATTGTGGAAGGTGACGAATCATAGATGTACGCATGTGCGCCTGATAGTTTAAAGATGAACCGATATTTTGAACATCGATGAAGCGATTTTCGATGGTTAATATCTGCTTTCGTTCTCGAGTCCCGAAACATGGAACAAAAATTATGATTTACATTATATATGTGACGCAACACTAAGTGTAACAAATGACAAAGGGTGAGCCATCTACCGTTTATTTGTGCTTTGACAGCCTCAATAAAGCCAGCCGCGGCAGCCATATGCTGCGCGTCAAGTGGATCAAAAGTGATTCACCCAACCGGGAATTTTGGAGATATATTTATATTTTTTATTTTTGTCATCACCGAAAGTTAGGATTTTTTTCATGCCTGAAATACTCGTCAAAAGTGATTTTATAATGGTTCGACCAAAAAGGTCTTGTATCGTAAATAGACTCAGAAATAGTCAGGATAAAAATTTATTTCCAAAATTATTGATTGGATTATGTGCAAAGACTTGATATTAATTATTATCTCTTTCTATGCATACGCCATATACTCACCTAAAATCAGAAGTCACAGCAGATAAAGTAAGAAATAAGATTTTTATTTAAATTTATTTATTTTAAATTATAAGAGAAATCGACAATGTAAATATACATATGTGCATATGTACATACTTATATTCATTTTTATAAAATAAAAAGAAACAATAAAAAATTCCAGTTTTGTTAGCCTACAATAAATTGTTTACAATTTTTCGAACTTCGCCAAATTTATTGACTTCGAATGAAAAAAGTGGTTTTGACAAAAACATTTTTTTTAGAAAAAAATCTGAGCTGCTCAAATACATATACAATTAATAAATATATGTATATTTTTTTAGAAAAAATTTATACAAAAAAGCTTAGATGTACGAGTATTTGTAAATGCGACTGCACACAAATTTATGTATAAATTGAGTTTTAGGCTCTCAAATTACTTTCAATCCTTTTAACGTTCATAAATGCCCAATAAAGTTTTGCACGACGGACAACGATGTTCGACATTTCGGGCGCAGCCGGTGCAATACAAGCAGCAGGCACATGGACACAAACTGTTTGGATGGAGAAGTTGTTTTCAAAAAATAGATAACTTTAATTAAAAGTGTCAAAGAACATTGGATAGAGTTCTTATACAAGCAAATTGAATTTATTTTGAATAAAACAAAAACACAGACTGTTATTATTCAAAACTTTCTACTTACCCAATAACACATAACAGTAATGCGATCAGATGAGTCTTCGTTGATGCTACATAATCCACGGTGGTCGTTACTTGCTTCTGACAAGTTGAACACACAACGGTTGATGGTTCTGATCCGACAATAGCTGACATACTGGCGGTGAGCTGAAAGTAGCAACAGTAAATAATTATAAAATTAAATAAAATACAATAACATAAAATAAGGAAAAATATAAATAAAATAAAATAAATTACAATAAAATGAAATAAAATAAAATAAAATATAATAAATAAAGTAAAAAATAATAAAAAACGCTATTCGATAGTCATTTCAGAGGCACCCTTATAATTCCACATCGTCCATAAATAAAAAAATAAACTAAAATAAAATAAAATAAAATAAATAATATAAAATGAAATAAATTAAAATACAATAACTTAAATTAATAAAAAAGGTAAATAAAGTAAAATACAATAAACAAAAAAAGGTAAAATAAAATAAAAACGCTATTCGGTAGTCATTTCAGAGCAAACCTTATGAACTCCAAATCATCCATAAGTAACTAAGATAAAATACAATAAAATAAAATAAAATTAAATGCAAAACAAAAAATTAAATAAAAAAAATGAAATAAAATAAAACAAAATAAAATAAAATATTATGAAAAAAAAATAAACTAAAATAATAAAAAAATTAATATAAAATAAAATAAAATGTAAAACAAAAACTAAAATAAAAAAAAAATAAAAAATAAAAAATAAAAGAAATATGAAATAAAATGAAATAAATAAAACAAAATTAAATTAAAAAAAAAATAAAATAAAAAATTGCAATATATAATAATATGAAATAAAAAATTAAAAAAAAATAATAAAGCGAACTAAAATATTAATATATATATTATAAGAAGTTAAATAAGGTCAAAAGTTTAAAAAGTAGAAAAAAATAAAGTTAACTAAAATAAATTAGTTAAAAATAAATAATTAATTAAAAAGTAAACAAAAAATATTAAAAACTTTAATTTAAAAAGCACATAAAATAAAATAAATTAAAAAACTAAAAAAAAGAATTTAAAATAAAACAAAATTAATTAAAAATTTTAATTAAACAGTATAAAATAAAACAAAAAATAAAATAAAATAAAATCGTAATACAAAAAATAAACTAAAAAAAATAAAATAAATTAATATGAAATAAAATAAAATAAATAAACAAAATTAAATAAAAAAATACATAATATTATAATATAAAATAAAATATATTAAAAACTAAAATAAAGCGAAATAAAATAATATATTCTAAGAAGTTAAATAAGGTCAAAAGTTTACAAAATAGAAAAAAGTAAAGTTAACTAAAATAATATATTATATGTTAAGATAAAAAAAAAATTAATTTAAATAAAAGAAAATATAATAAATAATTTGAATTAAATAGTAAAAAAAAAAAAAATTCAATAAAATAAATTAAGAAAAAAGCAAAAACATTTTAGTTAAAAATAAAACAAAATAAATTCAAAATTTAAATTAAATAGCAAAAAAAATAATAATACTAAATTGACCACAACTTGGAAATTCAGGAACACGCTTATGTTCCTACATATCAACTGTTTGTGTGCTCATGTTATATTGTATGTATATTAAAGGCTTTGAAAGCATGTAAGTAGACTACAATTCAATAACGCCCTTTTCTGTTAATTATAGTAAGTGTACGTGTACCGTAGAAGCTCATTAAATTTCATGACAATGTATATCAAGTGACAGGCGGCCGCGATAACCAAGGAGTTAGCATTGCGTACTGCCATGCGGAAGGCTCAGGTTCAAATCCTCGAGCGACCAACATCCAAAAAGTTATAGAAAATTAATTTATGTAAAAAAATTAAGCAAAATTTTCTAATTGCGGTCGCTCCTTGGCAGCGAATGTCAACCCCTCCGAGTGTATTTCTGACATGAAATAAAGCTCGTTCGGAGGCGGCTTAGTATAAGTCCCTCCATTTGTTGGAAAAAACATCAAGAGGCAAAACCACGAATTGGAGGAGGAGCTCGGCCGAAAAACGCTTCACATGATTAATAAGGAGTGGGCGCAAATAAATACATATATACTTTATATTTATTTAAAGGACTTTATTTTTATAGATAATTTAATTCATTACCATTTTCGAAATAATTTAACTCTGTAATCCAAGAGCAAAGTTTTATGAAGCCAAAAGCATATTACTTTTTGGATTTATTTGTTCACTTTAATTGTATCGGAAGGAACTAGAAAACGGTGCTGTTGTTTGCCTTCAAGTTGCGAGAATATTCTTCATTATTCCCATTTTCTGCAACTTTTTACTCATTTTCAGGTTATGATCCCAGCTTCTTCAGCTATGATAAACTTGACACATCAGCTTTAATTCGAAAGCACTTGAATATAATTAATAAAATAATTTATTTATTTTTTTTTTGCTTTACACTCAACTAATGAACCAATGCTAACATACATACACATACATATACTTATACATGTTTATATGTAAATATGTATGTTTGGATACGAATAAAATATATTGAAGGATGACGAAATCATGTGAACCAGAATCACAATTTCACTCACATTTTTTTATATTAGAAACTTTTCTTTGGAGGTAACAAATTTATTCGTCGCTGCGGGTTAGCGGTATACAAAAATAAACGTTATTGCGCGTTGGCGGACGAAACTGAATTGAAAATCGGGTGGCAGTTGAAGTAACGACAACACTTTGTTTTCCTTGCACAATTTGCTTAACTTAAATGAAATAGATTTGTATATACATATGTATGTATGTATTGTATGTATACTAAGCTCACATATGAAAATGAAATTTAGAATGAAATGATTTGCGAGTTTCTGAGAGCTTTACCATTTTAAAAAGTTTATTTTTTTTTTTTGGCTTAAGAAAATGTTTAAAAAAAATTTAAGGTGGACAGGAAAAGGAGTATGAAATAATTTTTTTTATATGCATGCTTGTATAAATAAACAGTGCTAAATTTATAGCGCTGAATGTAGCATAAGAATGTGATGTACATATTCACAAATGAGATGGATCAGAGTATCGCTCATAACAGATCAACGACAAAAAAACTGTTGATGTTTTTAGATTTTCAAAATATCAAAATTTCGATGATACAAATTTGAACACAAATTTGATTGTGCCAAACCGAAATTTTTATACTTTTCATGAACACTTAAAATTTATTGGATTTCATTTTAGGAATTAATATTAGTTTTTAATTTTTATTTAATAACGGATATTTTACTGTTGCATTCTTAGATGCCTTTTTTACTCAAACTTCATATCATATAGGCAATGCCGATTGGTTAGCATTGCGTACTGCCATTTAGAAGCTAGGTTTGAGATCCTGGTATGTCAACTGGTCTCCTGGTATATCAACATCCCAAAGTCATTGACAATTAATTTCAGGGCATGTCAACCCCCCGAGTTCGGAGGCGGCTTAGTATAATATAAACATAGATCTCTCCATTTTTGGGGAACCCTCAAGACGCATAAGCACAAATTGGAGGAGGAGCATAAGTTTTAGTGCGTCACTTTCTTTTCTCTCTAAGTTAGAAACATATATAAATATTAATGGAATTTCAATGCAAATTGTTTTAACCATATCTCTCTGCACATCTGCCAGTCTGTGTAATGATAACTCTAGTTAGAATTGAGATATTGTGATGAAATTAGGTACACACACTCCTGGGCTCACAAGGGCGGACTCTATTGCAAATGTGTGAATTTGATCCAAGCTCCAAAGTAAGAAAATCGCGATACTTCAGTACCATAACGTGCTTTGATTCTTATTTTTTAAGCATGATTACATTGAATTAAAAATTTCAGGTGGACTTTTGGTCAAAAAGTATATCTGAGAAACACCTTAGCAGAATTCGTACTACGCCTTTACTCCATATAACCATCCCTCCACTGCTACGGGGTGCAAATATGGCTTATGATCGAATATTTAGTCAACAGAATTTAACCAAATTTATATTATTAATATTATAATTTTAATGAGAACTATCGAAAATGCTTACATACGCCTAGAATCATACTTACTTCCCATTTAATATACCTCTTATATAGACCGATCTCTAATTCTAATTTAAATATCAACGGCTCCACCCTGTATGCTTCTTGTTTTTGCTGAATCCCTTGCTTTACTTTATCAGTCTTCCTTTCGGATTTTAGAACGATCGGCTTAAATAGAGACGAGAAAAAGCAGGATAGCTGTGGATAGATTAGACCGAACTCCACCACCAACGTAAACAGATATTCACCATGAAATTCTCTTCGGGTTTAGACGTAATTTACGACCATTACAAATATTAAGTAAGTGTGAAATTGCAGTTGGAACGATTGCACCGGACATTTTTCCGTAGAGCACGTGCCCCGAGAAGGTCGTCCAATATCTTCCACTAATGGCGCCACTCTAGCTCTGGTGAAGTCCAAAATTTGACGAAGAAATGAATGCAAACGAATTGGACTTGAATGGAATGGCTGTATCGCGAATATTACATAATCATCTGGGATACACGAAGAAATCTCCTCGATGGGTATCACGAATTTCAAATGAGGCCCAAAAAGAAACTCGATTCCTTTTTTTTCTCAATTTTTTTCTAAACAAATTCCGATATAGTCTGTCTAACAACTTTAGTAGAGTCGTTACTGATGACGATTCTTAGTACTAAAAGTACGAGCCAGAAACCAAACAGTAGTCCAGGGTCCATAGAGCCCGACAGGAACAAGTCCATCCGTAAAATCTTACAGTCCGATTTCGAACCGAAATTCCGAAAGAAATTTTTCTTCTTTACCTTTTCTTGTATTCTCAATGACATCTCCCTGGCAGACTTTTCCCTTATCCTTTTCCTTCTATAGTAATTATTGAAAAGGGTGTTTTTTTCGGTGAGAAAAAGTATTCTTCACTAATGTGAAGGATGGAGAGAAAACGTTGACTTTTTCGAGAGTTATTCGGCAACCGTTTTTTATGTACATACATATAAAGGTAAGTTTGTCTTTCAATTGTTTTTATTTTTTTTTTATTATTAAATTAAATTTGTTGTCAGATTAAAAACAATTAGCAAATTGTAATTCCAACGCAATATTAATTTAATGGAAGAAAACCATCGAATAATGAATATTAAATATAAACTGAATGCAATGAGGCCTTAAGTACCAACTATGCCGAGGTTGCCATTGTTTGTGTTCTCTCACGGAATTAAGAATGCCTAATTGTTTTTTCGAGAAAAAGTTTTTCAAGAGAAAAAGTTTTTCAAGAGAAAAAGTTTTTCAAGAGAAAAACATTCCTCCGGGAATATTTAGAGAGAGGCTGAAATGTATAATACGCTACCTTGGAAACTTGGGGAGCATCAACTTTTATTGGAAATTCCGATTTTTTTACGGTAAACCGCCGGTTAGACATATTATCATTGTTTTTTACGAAAGCCGCCTTGGCTTGCTGGTATCAATTTGTGTTAGCAGATAGATTGGATAGTACGAAAACGCCTGTGTTTAGTCTTTATTTATTTACTTATTTATTATAATTAATTATAAAATATAAATTCTTATAATTAAGATAAGTAAGAGCACTAGATGTCAGGGCTTTCCGCTCTGTCCGTTAGTAAACCAGATTATGAGTGCTTACTTACAGGCTTTCATAAGTTTCAAATAATGTTATATGTATAATATGTCGTGTTGAGAAGGTTCTTTTAATAGATCGGTAGGCGTTGATTGTTGAAATACTTTGACGCGGTTGCCTTTTAGTGTGAGGCAGTTGTTAAGAAGGTCTTCGATGAATGACCGACCATTGCAAAATTGTCAGGTGGGTGGTGACGTACGGCATATCATATGTTTGTGGGTAAATTTGGTGTGCCCCAAGCGTAAAGGAATGAATATTTGGTTTTGTTGTAGAGAACAAGATGGTGGATAGTGTGGGCTTTTCATCCTTCATTGTTGATCCGGCTGTAGTGCTAATTATATGTAAGCCATTTTATAGTTTTTTTTGCAGCTGGTATTGTTTGATAATTCTCGGAGATCGTTTTTATCAGCGGTGTGGAATGTTTCTAGACGATGGACATGGGCGGTTGAATCTGCGGCTACATCTGCGCATTTGTTTCCATCAATTCCAGCGCAATCCGGAATCCACATAACTTTTATTTGATAAGGGTTTTGCATAAGGTTGCTTCATATTGCCGCTGTTAGATCGCGGTTGTTGTAAAAGTTGAGACTGCGTCTATGGTGGATCTGTTGTCAGAGCAGGCAATATATTTCCTCTATTCGCTTCGCCGTAGACTGTGTCAATCCTAATCGCTAAAACATCAGCGGCAAACACAGAGAAGTATGTAAACACTAACCGGTTTTCAAAGTTGCTCCGGCACTATGAACTATTGCAAATGAGGTGTGGGTATCATTTTTAGAGTCGTCAGTATATAAAAAATTTCAATTACTTTCTTTGTATTTTATACGGGCTTTTTCGAAGAGTTGTTTCAAGACCAAGTAGTCAGTTGTTTTTTTATATGCATGTAAATACGAAATAAACGAAGATATTTTGAGCACCCATGAAGGATCTAAGCTGCACTTTTTGCGGTTTGGTTTTATACTGAACTCAATGGAACTTGCGAAATCGATGCATCGTTGGATTGTAAAATTATATCTTTTTGGTCGTTTTTGTTTCACGATGTTTATTATGTCTTTGAAGAGCATATCGTTGTTGCTGCGGATAAATTTTGACATAAGCCGATATGTTGTAGCTTTGACACATTACGGGATGGATGGAAGGTCGGCTTCACCTAAACAATTTTTTATGGACGATGTGGGATATGTGCCTATGCTTCTGCTGACTGGAGCGTGATATGGAGTATTATACTGTTGAATATTGGTTTTGGCACACCATTCAAAGATTGGAAACCCGTCATCAATTTTAGATAAAATAAGGGTTTGGCCTTTAACTATGGCTTGGCTATCATTATTAATTATTAATTGATTTGAGAATGGCATCGAATAGTTAAGAGAGCAGTGCTAATGCAACTTTTGGTACGAGGATCTCTTTAAATCCAATTGCTGAATCGAATTTACAAGTTCGAGTGTTGATATTTAAATCTTCAAATAAGTTTCAAGGCCACATAAATTGGGTAGGTCATTTCGCTTAAGTGCTTCACCAAACAACTTGCCTTTTCTTCATTACGACGCGCCGAGTTACCAACTGTGTTCCTGATTATATTATACGAGCATGGCTTCCAGAGTGGATATCTCTTAAAATTTGATGACAGTTTTATATATGTATGTATACTAGTAGATATGATCCGCTTCATTCAGCGTGCTTTTCAGTGTATTTTCGGCTGATTTTTGACGCGACTTCGAGGAACATCACTCTCCTATGCTTTTTTATACTCTCCACAAACGATATGTTTTATTACTAATTCTTCTCTTTTAGTTTTATTAAGCCTTCAAATATTCGCAAGTAATTTTATAATTAATTCGGCATATTAATCAATTAAAAATAAATTGCAACCACAAAAGGCGTAAAAGAAAAAAAATTACAAAAAAAAAAAATTAGAAAGGATTTTTAACTTTTGACCTCTTTTATTAATTATGTAAATAAATAAAAACAAATGTAGTATGTTTACATATACAATTGAGCTCTAGTTATCCGGGTATCGAGCAGTGCGAGAAAAAAGTCGAAATATTTGCCCAAAATGCTAAAAAAACTAGAATTACTCAAGCTCACTCCCCAAGTAAACGAGTGTGAAAGTAAACGTTCGTTATTTAAGAGGAGATTATACACATAATCGCCTAACCACTCAATCAAGGGGTAAAATTTTAACGGTACTTTATGGCGTATTTTGCACTTGGACTTATATTTTTTAGCCATATAAAGTTCAGCGCACACAACAACTGACGCCTGCTGATCATTCACTATGTAGTCGACAGGGTGCTTGAGCAACAAGCAGTTGACGGTAATTTTTCGAACAAAATTTTTTTCAGCGCCGAGACACAATTCTCATACGTGGAAGAAGTGAATGAGTAAACTTGTCGCATTTGGCGCTATGAAAATACTCAAACAATTGAAGATAGGCGACCGCTCATGTGATTTTTGGCTGTCCTGCTACTTCAATCTATAGTTTTGCGTCCTGATGTTTTTCCAACAAACGGAGGGACCTACAGTTTATACTAAGCCGTCTCCGTACGGCCGATGGTTTTTTATGAGAAGCTTTGTTTTATGTCCGAAATACACTCGGAAGGCTGAACATTTCCTGCCGAGGGGCGAACGCAATTAGAAAAATTAATTATCTATATTTTGAATGTTGGTAGTGGTTGGATTCTCTAAGATGCTTTACCATATTACCAAATATAATAACTTTTGAATAGTTTTAACGATTTTAATACAATATTTGGCGTACTTAGCGATCGCTTGATTGATTAGCTGGGGAAAACTTTCTAACTGAGCGACGAATATTTTGAAGTTGTAAGCGCGATCGACAAAATATTGATATTTATTACGGTTAAAGTGAAGTAAAGTAGATCGCGAAAGTACCTAAGCAACAGAAGGAGAAAAATAGCATAATAAATAAAGAAGATTTTTGCGTATTCGGCATACTCCAGAAAGAGGAGGTATCGGAAGACCCTTCTCTGCACTTGAATCTCTAGTCTTGCTCAACTTGATAGTCAACTAAAAAGCAAAAGAATAACGGCCATATTAGAAAAACAGATAATAATATTACTTTTCAGAAATTTTTCAATTTAAATACTGCGATTCTTCCAATCGACGTCCATTAAGAGAGCAATCGGGAGTATCTATGAGTCAATCGTCCATAAGTCGTTTTATTAATCGTGTAACAAACGCAATTAACCATTCGATATTTTTTTTGCGAAGGACAGATTTCTCATAATCCAAACTGAACGGCAAGCTGCAAAGAAAATCTTCGCCTCAGCAGCGTCACCACTTGTTTTAGGTATTAGTTTGGCACTCAATAAAATATGTCAATCATGAGACCCCGGAAATCATTAAGAAATGGGAAGTATAAATTATTATTTAATTGTTATTGTAGTAAAATATTTAGTTCATTATAAACGGTGATTTTTTTTTTAGCTATTATCTTTTTGGCAACATTGGTTTCAACTGGTTCATTGCGCGGTTCTAGGTGCGTAAATAAGCAGAATTGTCGATTTTGGATTGAAGATCAGCCAGAATCATTGCAAGAGCTGCCAATGCGTCCAGAAAAAGTCACAGTTTGGTTTGGGGGTTTATGGGCTATTGGCATCATTGGACCGCACTTCTTTAAAGATGATGCGAATCGTAACGTAACTGTGAATGGTGAGCGCTACCGTGCAATGAAATCAAACTTTTTTTTGCCCAAAATGCAAAAGCTTGGCTTCCATGACGTGTGGTTTCAACAAGACGGTGCCACATGCCACACAACACGCGTAATAATGGACTTACTGAAAGGCGAGTTCGGTGAAAATTTAATTTCACGTTCGAGACCGGTCGATTGGCCGTCTAGATCGTGCGACTTAACGCCTTTAGACTAATTTTCAATTGACGCATTGGAGGACAACATTGAAGCATTTATTCGTGAGATACGGGCCGAAATGTTGGAAAGAGTATGTCAAAATTGGACTAAGCGGATGGCGCATTTGAGGCGCAGTCACGATCAACATTTGCATGAAATAATCCTCAGCTCGTCTGCAGTGCTTAGAGGCGTGAAGCGTATTTTGGAAAGTGGAAATCGTAAAATGTTTTTGATTTGGTAAACTTTGTAGTCCATTGCAACACATTTAGTGAAAATAATTGCTATTATTGTCATCAATTTGTCATTCCTCTTTGTGCTTTTTGCATTCTTTGACATTTTTTTGAGCTGCGGTGCCACCTTACCTATACTTTATTGAAGAGAAAGTATTAATCCGTTGTCGATTATCGTTAAAAATATGTTGGAGAATCGCGTAATAGGGCAAGCGCCAAAGACGAAGCTGGCAAGTGTGCGAACCCAACTATCTCAAAAGGATCGAAGTTTGAAAAAATTCGCTAGACGGTCACTTGAATGGTGAAGTGTTTCACATATATGTATAATATATAATGCCAAGGTTCAAACTTTATAATTATAATGGAATTTTATGAAAATAAAAAAAAAATATTTGAAATGCATTTCATTTTTATTTCTTTTCGAAACCGCAAAATGCTCTATTAATACATATTTACCGTTAAATGCTTGCTAAATCAAGAATTTAAAAAAAAAAACATTTTTATATACCTATATTTGTAAATTTATTAATCTTTATAAAGTACAAATTTTCGTTTTTTTTCTTCAATTTTATATTTTCTTACACAAATATGGAAATAACGCATTAAAGCAGTTTTACATTAGAAATTTTACTTAAAAAGAAAAAAAATACTACATTCGTTTCTGTAGGTCGTAAATGGTTTGGTAAGGATTATCTGTTGGTAAACAAATGCATATATTTTCATACATATATATATATATTGTAATTTAATATTTCTCATATATTAATTATGTATGTATGTATTCATAATTGTTTTTAAGTAAGCAAGTGTGTAGCAAAGTTTATCTATTTTCATTTTTCGTTGCTTCTTCCATCCTTAAATATTTATTGAAATATGTACTTCAATATCGACACATACGGTTACGCCTCTTTTTAAATAAGTTTGTAGTCAAGTGAAGTTAAATCCAAATACTTCCCGCTCTGATCTCCCTTCTTTTCACGTAATTTTTTTATGTATGAAAATCCTTTGGTTTTTTTACAGTTTCAAAAAAAAAAAATAGGTATATTTTCGTTTCCCATTGCATTTTAGTTCTTAAAATTTTTTCTTCTTTGGTTCATTTGCTGGTTAGTTGGAATATGTGCCAATATATGCATTGCAATTCGGACAGTAATGATTTGCATTCTGGCAGGAATCCATGCAGTAAGGTACGCACACGCAAGGCCAGCAACTGAAAGTAGAAAAGGGTGAAGTGTTTATTTAATTAGAAGGTGAAAATAAATGTATAAATAAATGAAATAAAATTTAAAAAATTATTAAAAAAAAACTAATTTAAAAACTAACGTAAATTAGTTAAAAAAAAATTTAAAAACTAACGTAAATTAGTTAAAAAATATTGTGCGTAACACTTCAACTACAAATTATATCAACTTTGTGGCTACTTTAGCTTAAAGTTTTGAAAGTGGTTTGGAATTTTCAAGTAATAGTGGAAAAAAAAATTTTCACATGGATAATTGCGCACACGAAAATGTTTGAGTAAATGTGAGCTTAACCACATAAAAAGGATGAAGGCAATAAAAACAGAACAAATTGTATGGTTGCAAGTACAATTAATTGAAAAATGCATTTAAACAAAAGGCAATTAACCATAATGCAATTAAGCGTAGCACAATTAAGCATAATGCATTTAAGCGTAACGCAATTAAGCGTAATGCAATTAACCCAAAATAATTTCAAACATTTTAAAATGGCAATTTTATAATTAGCCATGATGCAATTAAACATAAGACAATTATCCGTAATGCACTTATCGGTGAAATTCGAAAATGGAATCTCAGCAATATCATATCAAAACAGAATTTAAAGAAGAAAAAATAATGTAAAAAATGCCTTTTCTTTGTTGTCTATATCACTTTGACTAATTTATTTATTATTGATAACAACCATAAACATATACGACCGAATTACTGGAAAAACTCTCTAATCTCTAGCAAGACAAGGTATATATACAATTATACCTCATGAGTCACTCATATATTTTCATACATATGAGAAATAAGAAATAAACGGCGGTGTTATCATTTTCAGTTATGTGCATCAGTAAATATTATGTAAATAAAAATATGTTTGTAGTTATTGTATGAAAATAGTGTGATCTACGAGCAAATCAAAATGGTTTTTTATGAAATTATTGTGTTTTTAAAAAATGTGCCATACACTTATGCATGTTAGGGCGATTCCTAAACAAATTAAATTTTTTTCTTTTTAGATATATGTACGTAATTGACGATTTATTACTTTATTTATTATATGCTGCACGTAAAAAAAAATCAAAAAAGAAAATTTAAAAAAAAAATTGAAGAAAAATTAAAAAAAAATTTTTTTCAAATTTTTGAGGAACACCCGATATTATTTTATGCATATTAATTCAACAGAAGTCATACACTTACATGTGTAGATATTATAAAGTTTGCTCATTAATTTTGATTTGGAAAAGTTGACTAAATAACATTATGTATATTTATTTATATCTAAAAATTGCGCAAATTGAACACGCATTTAAGTTAAAAAAATTAGTTTAATTGCTATTAATTAAGTATATCACTGCTACATTTTTTTTGGAATCCTATGATTAAAATATACTAAGTTTTTTATTATAAATCTTTCGAAAAAAAGTCTTTTAATACACATTATTTGAAGAACTTTTATCTCGATTTCTCTAAACGGTATGCGTCTTTGGTAAATGTGGAATATTTTGCTACAATGAGCCTAATTGTAGGCAACGATTTTGTTGAGTGTATTCAATGAGAGCACGATTTTTGGTAGTAGCTCCTAAATAACTAAGAAAAAATTCATGTTTCATTCAATGGAGAAGCATTAAATATATGAAATTGAATTTTTATTGCAAATGTTTTTTTTTTTTTTTTTTTCAGAAAAAAAAAAATCATTTTGGAACACAACTCTCTGTTTAATGGTGAAATGGAAAAAAATGTGTACGAATGAAATCTTTCTGCGAAAATTTTTAAACATGTCTGTACTCATATACTCAATTATCAGTTTCCACTTGAAATATAAATTTTCTGTTGAAAACTGTTTTAACAGATTTTTCAAATAATTTTTTTTTTAAATTCTAGTACTATAATAGTACATAAGGACACTCCGTAATTACTACACTCGACAATATAAAACTGATGATCAAAATTTTAAAATTTCTACTAGTTATAAAACTAGTTACAAGCCAATTCATTTTGAATTACTTCGATTTATATTAATTTAAGTCACACACATATGCACCCGCACAACAACTTACAATATCAAACACAATAATAACGCCCAACAATGCGTTCGCGTCGTAGCCTGATGCTTCACGCTAGTCAACACCTGGGCGTGACATGAAGGGCAGGTGACGCGCGTTGGCTCATTGCTTACAGGCACCAGTGATTGGTTTGTCGTATGAATTATCACAGTTTCCGTTGTTGGTGGTGGTTGATAGGTCTGCGCTGGCGTATAGCCGGAGTAAGGCGGCGGATTGGTTCTTTCGTCTGAGGACATGGTGTATGAGATTTAATAAAATATCAACACCCACAAAAGTATTTACGGAAGAACTTCAAAATCACTCGGTAATTAGTGATTTAGTTAGTTGTATTATATTTAATTTCCTTTTTACTATATTTTAATTTCTTAAATTCACGTTCTAAACCGTTACTATTAATGTGTATGTCAGCGACGATAGACGGAGCTTAACTGCAGTAAATGTATTCGCTGTTGCTTCACTTTATTCCCATTTTGTTTGTTTATTATCATATCAGTTTCGTTCTTTCGTTCTTATCTCTGGCAAGTGCCCTATACTCTTGCCGATGAACAGATGTGTGTTGGTGAGTAATATGCCGTTAAAAAGGGTATTTTTCTGTTGAATTTTATTTATTATCTTTTTCAGTTGTAATACCTTCATGACTAACTGTTTACTATACGGCATTATGTTTTGAAGTATTTCTATATATGTATATGATATACAGTATATCAATAGAATCTATGGAAATTTGTCATATTCAATGTTTGCCATGTAGTGGTTTTATGTTCTCTGCTCAGTTTTTATAAGCCCAGTTAGGATGAAAGATAATCGTTTTCCACGAAACCGTACTGTAACCTGCACTTCAATGTGTTTTTAAAAATCAATTTATCATTTTATTTTATTGCTTTGTTAGTTGGTAATCAGTTATTTGTGGCAATAATCAGAAAACACTATAAATTTTCGGCTGCGGTAGCCGAGTGGTTAGCATTGCGTACTACCATTCGAAAGACTTGGGTTCAAAACCCCGTACGACCAACATCCAAAATAGAAATTTAATTTGTAAAAAAAAATAAGCTAAATTTTCTAATTGCGGTCGACCCTCGTCAGGATATGTCAACCCCTCCGTGTATATTTCTGATATGAATTAAAACTCCTCATAAAAAAACCATCAGCCGTTTGGAGGTGGCTTAGTGTAAACTATAGGTCTCTTCAAAACGACAAATCGAAGCAGGAGCTCGGCAGAAAATCGCTTCAGCGGCTACAAAGCGCCAGTTGCGCAATATATGATGAAATCCTCGTACTCACTTAAACACTTATATAGAACAACAAAAGGTTAAGAGCCTACGGAGAGTAGGTTGAATGAGTGTTCCGTCGCTTGGTGATTTACATTTAGAGTTCGCATTTTTGGAATACAATTTTCGCCAATTATCGTAGACTAAAGCCTGCTCAAAATCTCCTGTAAGACCTCATCGAGCATACCGTAAGGGTCAAGATACTTGTTGGGTGGCTTCAGCCCTGATAAATTAACCACGGACTCGAAGTCTAGATTAGACACATTATATATCATTCATGTGATGAAATACCCGACACGCATCACTTCTTTGTCGATTTTAAAGCTATCGCAGAAAAGTAGCTGCCTTGGACGGAGTAGGCAATGCGTCTCTCAGCGAGCAGAAACTACATTATATTAGACGCTGGCCATTCCCAGCCTGCTGTATGAGGCAGAAGCGTTGGGGAGATGACAACGTTTTATAAATTGAAGCCTGAAATTTTCGAGCCCAAGGTTTTGCGAACGTTTTATGGTCTTATGCACATTGCCAATGATGAATAACGCAGACGAAAGAAGATGAACGATAAACGATGACAATAACGTGGTTCCACTAATCCAAGAGAGAGCAACCACGCTGATGAATCGGGAATTATTATTAGCTCGGATTTAATCGAGTAGGCCTTTCTATGTCAATTAATAAGAAGAGTTTTGGGAACTTCGGAACTTAAAAAGAAAATGGAAGGAATTCACCGGAAACCAAATCGGCCGAAAAAGCAACAACAAGTCCCACTGAGTACAAAAGGCGCAAACAGTTGTTGGAAACAAAAAAGCTATTTTGGTGACCTTAAGCGGATCCAACTGGGGTGAAATAGGGTACATTTTCTTCCACAGAGCTCAAGCAAAAGTTTATAAATTCATGAAGATATGCAGTAAGAGAATATGTTTAAAAATAATTTACTGTATTCTGTCGACTTTGATCTCTTTTGGATCTAAGCCCCAGTCTCTACTTGAATTTGGAATTTAGTTATTCAACTAATTTAGTTTGAAGTTATATTTTTCTCTGTGAGTTATTTCTGAGTCCGTCGCCGTGCTTTAGGTATTCCTTATGGAAATCAAGCCTTGGACTGTGGTAAAAAATATTAAAATAAAATTTAAAAGTTCAAGCCATAAGCTGGTTTGTAAAATTTAAATATTTCTAATGCATTGAGTACATTTTTTTTTTTTGGATGAGCTCACTCGTTTTCTGGCGCGTCGTCAGAGCGCCCTTAGTTCTACCTTAAAGATTCGTCTATCCTTCGCTCAATTACTCAGGCCTTTCACTTGAATTTAATCTTTATAAAGCGTTTAGCACTTCACAATTCGTTTTATCAGGCAGATAGATAAAGCGAAATGATTGATTTAAAACATTTTTTTTAAATTTTTCTTTGGAAAAAAATAATCGAAAATCTTAATTTAAGTAAGAAATATTGATTTTGATTTACGTTTTTGTACCATTTTTTTGTTTTTGCCTTTTATTTTTTAATTTTTAATTTTAAGATCTAGTTAAGGACTGCTGCCCACCAATGAAGGCTATTAATGAGTCAAACAACTTTTTTGGCCAGCGCAACCCTTAAATATCTTAGTTGTAAAATATCACTAACTCTTACTTACAGAAGGCACAGCACCAAAGCCCAGCAATGTGTTCGCGAAGTAGCCTTATGTTCGATCTTCGTCTCCACTTGTTGCTGGCAAGAGGGACAAGTAATAAGCGTCGGTTTATCACTCACTGGTATAGCTCCTGGATTTGTTTCTATAATTACTGTTGGCGCACTATTGGACATGGCTTATAATTTTTATTGATAACTAACGAAGAAAGATTTAAAAAAAAAAAATAACACAAATTTCTTGTTTAGCTTTTTATGTTTTCCGTGTGCACTAGCGTAGTGGGCGCTCAAAATTTAACTGCGGGTGTTTCTTTTACTGTTGAGTGGCTTTATTATTTTTAGTTATTTAATTTGACATCATATGATTTTTTTTTTGATTTGATGATTAATAAATAACTTTTATGTTGTTCGCTATTTTATATAATATTTCATCGTAAGCATCAGGTAATCTTATCATGTTTACTCTTTTCAATGCTTTTATGATTATAATCCATGATAAAAATGGTTAAAAAACTGATAACGGTTACACGATGAACGGGCCAAAGGCATTGCCATTCCTATCGATTATATAGTTTTTTTTATTTATTTTCTTTTTATAAAAGCGATTGGGAGTAGCAGCACAAAATGTTAGAGATAATTCTAGAATTAAAATAATAATAAATCCTGTCAAAATATTAAATTTAATTGTATTATGGTTTTATTAATTTTTTAAAGTTATATTTTATTTTAATAATTTTTAAAATTATTTATTATATATCTTTTTATATTTTTATAATTTTTTATTTTTTTTATATATTTTTTATATATTTTTTATATATTTTTTATATATTTTTTATATATTTTTTATATATTTGTCATATATTTTTCATATATTTATTATATATTTATTATAAAATTTTTTATTTTTTATTAAGTTTTATTATTTTTTGTAATTTTTTACATTTTTTATATTTATTATACTTTTTTATATTTTTTTTTGTATTTTTTTACTTTTTTTATATTTTTTTATATTTTTTTATATTTTTTTATATTTTTTAATATTATTTAATATTTTTTTATATTTTTTTATATTTTTTTATATTTTTTATAATTTTTTATATTTTTTTATATTTTTTTATATTTTTTCATATTTGTTTATATTTGTTTATATTTTTTCATATTTTTTCATATTTGTTTATATTTTTTCATATTTTATTGTATTTTTCGATATTTTTAAATATTTTTTTATATATTTTTATATTTTTTTATGTTTCTCATACTTTTTTATATTTTTTTGTATTTTTTTATTTTTTTATATTCTTTATATACTTTTTTATATATTTTTTTTATATATTTTATATATATTTTTTTTATATATTTGATATGTATTTTTTTAAATATTTTTTTATATACAGTTTTATATATTTTGTTACATATTTTTGATGTTCTTTTTTTTATAAATTTTTTATATTTTTTTTATATTTTTTTATAATTTACTATATTTGTTTATATTTTTCTATATTTTTTTTATATATTTTTAAATTTTTTAAATTTTTTTATATTTTTTTATATTTTTTTAAATTTTTTTATATTTTTTTATATTTTTTTATATTTTTTTATATTTTTTTTATTTTTTTATTTTTTTATATTTTTTATATTTTTTTTATATTTTTTTATATTTTTTTATATTTTTTATATTTTTTATATTTTTTTATATTTTTTTATATTTTTTTATATTTTTTTATATTTTTTTATATTTTTTTATATTTTTTTATATTTTTTTGAAATTTTTTTAAATTTTTTTAAATTTTTTTTTATATTTTTTTATATTTTTTTATATTTTTTTATATTTTTTCATATTTTTTTATATTTTTTTATATTTTTTTATATTTTTTTTTATATTTTTATATTTTTTTTTATATTTTTATATATTTTTTTATATTTTTTTATATTTTTTTATATTTTTATATATTTTTTTATATTTTTTTGTATATTTTTTAATTTTTTTTTGTATTTTTTTATATCTCTTGTATTTTTTTATATTTTTTATAATTTTTATATATTTTATATTTTTCTATATTTTTCTATATTTTTTTATATTTTTATATTTTTTATATTTTTTTGTATCTTTTTTGTATCTATTTTTATATTTTTTTATATTCTTTTATGGTTTAATATTTTTAAAATTCATTTAAAGGTGAGCTCTGCATTGTGACATAAATTATTCCAGGCGCTGGCAAAGTAGTTATGGTCCTAAGAAATGATTTTTCTATTTAGATGATTAAAATTATTTAAAGAAACCTCCACTCCATAGCAATCATCTGTCCCACCATAAATATTTGCTTCCTAGGCATTTTATATTATCCGATATGCTGCGGCTTTGTTTTGTATTGTCTCAAATAGCCCCATCATGATGAAGTCAGTAAATGTTAATGCTTACTTTGCCCTATCGTTAACTTAAGCAACATTTACAACGGTTGTTTATGTGACACTAGTTTAATAAAATTTACATATATATTTTATTGAGTTGGAAAGAGAGCATTGAATTTCTATTATTTTTCAAGTTCTCATTATTCGGCAATAAAAACTTGGTATATGTAAAATAATACAATCTAAGAATTCGGAAAATAAACAGTAATTGAATTATTTAAAAATATATATATTTATATAATTTGAAAATTTAATTTTAAATTGTTTTTATATTTATATAAATATATGGCATTTAAA